TGAAAAAAAAGGTAAGTAAACAACAACAACAACAAAAAATAATAACAACAATGAGAATTAAACAAATGGAAAGAAAACAATACCAATAAAATAAAAGATTTGTTCTATGTTGATAGATGTTAATATTGGGTAACAAGTTCATGGGAACTTAGTTTGATTTTTATTATGTTCAGACAGTTTCACAGCTGTGGGAAAGGTAGGTGTTCCTCTGATTTCTTACAAGATTGACACCTAGTTAAAAAAAAATTTAAAGTTCAACCTGGAAGAAAATAAATCTCTTTCCTGACATGTTACCTAGATTAGATCTATAAAAAGTTAGCTCTATCGTCTATCTTTGTTATGAAAAGTGAGCAAAAGCCTAGTTTTCAGTATATAGTTTGGTAAGACAGTTTCAGACACAAAACTGTGTGTTAGTAGAAGCAACGGAATGTTTCAATCAGTCCTCTCCAGTTAACAGCTTGGTCTTCTGAAGACTACTCCAAGTCAGGGGTATGGGTCTACATGTTCTCATCAACTCATCTCAAAAAATAAGCTTCCTCTGTCTGACCCTTAGCACAGTTCCTCTGCAATACACCCAGAAAATCCTACCCTCAAGAATAATTAGTTATAAGACTAAGCCATTTGTTTCAGTGGGCACTGTAGCTATTGATTTTCACTGAGCCCCAGCACCCTTGAGTACCAGAATGACATGACAGGTGTGTACCACAAAGCCTGTCTAAAATCATCTGACTACTCAGAGCTTACTACTAAAACTCACCAACTTTTACTTTTCTAAAAGAACCAACTAATTTTGGAAGGAAGTTCCTTAAAGCCACAGGTCTAAATTGAACTTGTTTACAGAGCCTCTAGGAATAATGCCATGTACAGGCAACACAAGGTCCCCAGGGAAGCCTCAGGAAATGGGATTTCAATTCAATAGGAGGTGCTTTAATTCATCACAACATTCCTTCCAACAGCAGAACAACTAATTGCAGAATCGAGTTTCCCATTAGTATGAAGAGACTGGACTGATGGATACTGAGGAGACTGGGGTAAATGAAAAGCTGATTTTTTTTTGAAAGCTGATTCAGCCACTTCCTATGTGATCATGGGAATGATCAACCAATGTCTATGTTTCTGCCTGTAAAACAGAAGCTACTGTCCCAACTTCAGCAGCATGAGGATCAGAAACGAAGCAGAGACATGTCCAACAGTACTTTAGTTCCATTACTATAAATGCCCGGCAGGACTCCTTTATGTAGTCTAGGCTGGAATGGACATGACTGACTAACAGCATCAGTCCTATAATCTTACAACAGTTTCCTTCATAACTAGAAGAAAAACTCTAGGGCTCAAACTAATTTCATAAAGGAAGGCAGTTACTGACTCAAGGCTCTAATTGCTTCCTAGGTGCTCACTCCTCTCTATGCACACCCCTCATTATCTTGCTCCTCTTGCCTTTCTCAATGCAAACTTGTTCTCCAGCTCTAACAGAAGCAATCACAAAGATCTGAGGAAATGTGTAGTTTGAGAAAAACAGTCCTACAGTGGGAGATGTGAGCCTGAATTTGGTCTATACCTCTAAGCAATTACATTTATGTTGGTCTTAAAGACTAAAGCAGTGCCGGTATTATTTGATTTTAGCCTGGTTCACAGAAAATTAAGTACTACTGCCCTTACTAGCAATGCCCAGTTACACATAAAGTAGCAGCTCAATATTATCCAGTCTCCACCTCCCAAAGCAAAAATTTCCACCCCTGTATTGTTTTACAGGCAAAACATTGTGGGTACAAAGTTTGAATGCTTCCTCTTCTTCTACTCTGCCACAACCTGTGCAGGTAAGGAATAAAAGATTCAGGACGTAAAAGGGTTTGTGGCAAAACCTAATGACCTGATCTCCAAAACCTATGTGTGGTGGCATGAAAGAAAATGGCCCCCAAAGGAAGGATCACAATTAGGAGGCATTGCTTTGTTCAAGGAAGTGTGTCACTGTGGGGTTGGGCATTCAGTTAGTTTTCTGTTGCCTGCAAAACGTAGGACTCTCAGGTACTCCAGCACTCCACCATAATGTACTGAACCTCTTAAACTGTAAGCAAGCCCCCCATCCCCACTAAATGTTTTCACTCATAATAGTTGTCATGATCATGGAGTCTCTTCACAGCAATAAAAATCAAACTAAGAAGTTGGTGCCACAGAATGGGATATTGCTGTGATAGGCCTGACCATGTGTTTGTTTGGAGGAATTTGGACTTTGGGTTTAGAAAGCAATGGAATGTCTAAATACTGCCTAATCGGCCATACTAGTAGGAGCATGGAAGACAGTGTTGCTAAGAGTTATTTGAATTATTGAGGTGGAGGGGGGCTCATTCAAGAGGTTTCAGAGGAGAAGAAATTTAATCTGTTACCTAGAGATTGTTCTGGTGATATTTTGGTGAAGAAGGTGGCTAATTTTGCCCTTGTCTGTAAAGTCTGCCTAAGGCTAAAGTGAAGAGTTTTGAATTAATTCCAGTGGCAGATGAAATCTCAACAGCCCGTATAGGATAGTAGGAAGTGGAATAAAGCTAAATTTTGTGTTCAAGGAGATAAACAGACTGATAAATGAAATAAATGGAGTGGTGACCTCAGAGCAAGATCCCAACCAGCTAAGTTTCTAACCTGTAAAAAGGAATTAGAGCCTGGTGTGATGGGGCACTCCTTTAATCCTAGCATTGGGAGGATCTCTGAATCTGAGGCCAGCCTGGTCTATAGGCCAAGTTTCAGGACAGCCAAACTTAGGCAGTGAAAGACAGAAAGAAAGCTAGTGAAGATTAAGTAAATGAGGGGGCTGTATTCCAGCCTCAGCAAGCAGCATACCTTGGCATCTTTGACTACGTGGTTCTGGAGTTAGAGTTAAGGGTAGAAAAAAAGAAGTTATGGAATAAAGACACTAAGACTAAGCATGTGTCAGGGTGTCCCTGAATGGAGGCCTTGGAAAGTCCACGATGTTAGAGTTGCCAGAGCAGTGGGTTACCTGCAGAGGAGAGCTGCTAACAGGGTGTGGAACCAGCGCAAGAGAGAGAAGTCTGTTGCAGTCAACACAGCTGAACAGAGTTGGAGATCTGAAGAGTGTTTCAATATCAGACATGAAGATGCAGAGTTTGGAGTTTGCCCAGATGTTTTCAGTCCTGTAGTCCGTTATTTCCTCACTATGCTCTTTTCCTCATGTTTTGGGATGATAATGTATATCCTGTGCCATTCTATGTTGTAAGTATATGACCTGTTTTTTGATTTTGATTTTATAGGGGATTACAGTAAAGAGATTGCCATGCATCTCAGAAGAGACTTTGAAACAAGTTTGAGTCTGTTATAGACTATGGAGATATTAGAATCTGGGCTGAATGCATTTTTGCATTAATATATGGCTATAAACCTTGGGGGGCCAGGGAGTAAAATGTGGTTTTTGAAAGAAAATGGTCCCCAAAGGGAGGGGCACTATTAGGAGGTGTGGCCTTGTTAGAGGAAGTGTATCACTGGTTGGTGAAGGGGCAGGCTCTGAGGTCTTTTTTGCTCAAGGTTCCCTCAGTGTGACAGTCAGTCAACTTCTTGCCTGAAAGATGTAGGATTCTCAACTACTTTAGTACCACACCTGCCTGTACTCTACCATGCTCCCCATCATGACAATGGACTGAACCTCTGAAACTGTAACTGAGCCTCCTCAATTAAATGTATTAATTTATAAGAGTTGTCATGGTCATGGCATCCCTTCACAGCAATAAAAAACAAACTAAGACACCATGTAAAGATGGAAGGCAAGAACTAACTTCATAAAGCTGTTCTTTCGCTTACACACACACTCCAGCACACACACATACCGCACACAAAAAATGTAATTTTGTAAAGAATAAAAGGTAGATATTTGTTGTTGGAAAGGTTATCTTTTTGCCCCCATCCCTCTTCCTACCAAGTACAACCAGTTAAGCAGGGGCAGGCCAGGCATGGTGGCACACATCTTTAATCTGAGTACTCAGAGACAGAGGCAGGGAAATCTCTGAGTTTGAGGCCAGCCTGATCTACATAGGTAGTTCCAGCACAGCCAGAGCCATGTAGAAAGGTCCTGTCTCAAAAAACCAAAAAGGAAAAAAGAATCAGATGCTTTAAAAACGTGTGCATGTGTGCACAGAGGATTATATGTACATAAAAATATTTTGTGAATATTCAGGAAACTGATTAAATAGGTTTCTTCCAGAGAGAACAAGAAAAACAAGAAAAGGGGATGGAGTCCCTTTTAAACATAAATCTTTTTGTATTTAAAACATGTTAATATACTATCTTAAAAATATTTTCCTCTCTTTGCTTGTGAATTTAGACAATTGCTTTTCTTTTCTTTCTTTCTTTCTTTTTTTTGTTTTGTTTTGTTTTGTTTGTTTGTTTTGAGACAGGCTTTTGCAATGCAGCCCAGACTGGTCTCCAGTTCATAATTCTCCGGCCTCAGTTGCCTGAATGTTGAGACTACTGGAGTCCACAGCCACCCATGGCCTAAAGGGCCCTAGTTTGGAGGCTTTTCTTTCTTTCTTTTTTAAAGCTTTGAAAAAATTAAAATAATGTTTATAAAACACGGGCCCTGGAATTTCACTTGCTCCTGTTATTTCAAGCATATTTCCTCACTTGTAAACTGTAGCCTGGTAGTTTTACCTACAGGTGTTTGTGAGGATTAAATAAGATAAAGCGTTCTGTACAGTATCTGGTACACTATAAGCCTGCCATAAATGCCAATTACTGTTATTATGTAGTATGAATACAGTTATTTCGGCCTTTTTTTTCTTTAAAGCAGCATCCCAAATACACACCCGTTTTCAAAGCACACCCACAAGTACGGTGCCTTCCTACACGCTCTATAACGTTCTATATTTTACAAACCACCTTTCCACACTTATCTTTCATCAAACCGGTAGCCTTAGTGCATCAATGTTAATTCATTTCGCATCTAGGGAAACAGGCACCAGAAGGCAGGAACTCTTAAATCTAATTTTCCTGTTTCTAAAATGAACTCTGAATTCCTCAGCCCGCTCATGAGTCCCTTGGTCCCCTGCTCCCGGAGCCGTGTTCTGCGCGGCACTGACCTGAGCGAGCGCCCCGGGGCCCGGGACCTCGCGCCGGGCTCACACCGACTAGGCGCGCTCGGGCCGCCAGAGCTTCGCAGCGGCCGGGTCCGCTCCGCAGCCATGGCGCCTGCGGGGAGAGGGAGAAGACAGGCCGAGACGGCTGGTCAGCAACGCCGCCCGCGATCAGAATCCCTGCCCAAGCCCGCCCAGCCCAGAGCCCATACATACCTGGACCTACGGCCGCTGCTCTGGTCCGCAGCCTCACAGGGGAGCGGCTTCCGGTGCTGCTTGCGTCATCTCCGCGCGTCCCTCCCGGCACCCAGCGCCCAGCTCCAGGCGGAAACGGCTGTACTTCCGGTCCCCGCCCACCCGGAAGGTGAGGAAGAATGGTCGGGCGGTGGAGAGGGGCAGAACATTTCCTACCACCTGTCTTCGCTTAGTCCTAGTGATCCTGGAATAAAGCTTCGTTTCAAGGCATCTATCTAGATTTTCACAGAGTGTTTATGTTCCTCATCTACCCTTGTTTTTCACCAAGTTGGAAGTAATTTTTCACCGAGGACTAAGGCTCCCAATTGAGATGTATCCAAATCCAGACAACCCATTAACACTTGATACATCCCAAACATGATACTGGCACAGATGAACAAATTCCTAACCGTGTGAGGTCCAAATCTAGTCATGGGAGAAAGACAACATAAACAACCACACAAACTGTGGAAAGAAGCAAGTGCTGTAGAAAACAAAACATGGTTAAGAGAGTTGGAGAGGGGCAGCCAAGTGAGGTAGGCATGAATCATAACACATGATCTCTGTGCCCAAAACGCGGTTACTCAACCATGGAGACGGACGTTCTCGGTAACATTTAAGTTACTTTGTGAGAGCCAAAGTTACATTTTAAGTTTTAAGTCCTTGTAAAACTTGGCTCTGGGCCATTTCCTGGGAAACCGGGTATGGATCTGGATAGATCACATCCACCTGGCCAATATTTAATTGAAGTTTGCTTCAAATTTGGCTTTAAACTGTGGTAATGGCCTTATTCTCCAGCGGTGGGATTAACAATTTATCCATTGACTGGCATCCTTTCACTCTCTCCAGATAGAAACCATGGTGAGCAAGAAGCTCTTCAATGCTGCTATGTGGTAGGTTTGTTGTTATTGCTGTTTGTTTTTTGTTATTGTTTTTCGAGACTAGGTTCTCTGTGTAGCTCTGTCTGTCCTGGAACTCCCTCTGTAGACCAAGCTGGCCTTGAATTGAGACCTGCCTGCCTCTGCCTCCTGAGTGCTGGGTTAAAGGGGTGTGCCACCACTGCCTGGCTTTTTCTTTTTTTTCTTTCTTTTCTCCTCCTTCTTCTTTTTTGAAAGTTTTTGTTTCCCTTGCTGTTTGACAGCAGCAATCAGGATAACGAGCAGGCAAGAGCAAGAGCTGGACCGGGAGGAGGGGTGTCAACAGTTTTTATACATGAAGGACTCCAGCAGGCCTGGGCATGGCAAGCATGCCTCTGGCATGCTTCATCCTTCCTCCATTCCCTCTTCCTTGGTTATATTCATAAAGCTAGCCACCAAGGTCTGTTCCCTTACTTGGCCACTTCCTCGTCCTGAGGCTCACTATCAAGGTCCAGCTATCAAAAGTATGGAAGTCCAGCAATCAGAAGCCCCCTTTGGCTCACCTAATTAACATGCCCAATCAAAACAAGCCAACTCATCCTAACGAAAGCTTTCCTCTTATAAACTGCCATTTGCCTATGGGCCACACATGTCTCATTTATCCAGAAGCAGTCCTTTGCACCTCCATGGCAAATATTCCTCACTCACTTCCCCCATTTCCCTTCACTTTGTTCCTCATTCTGTCTCCTATCTTTGTTTCTTATTCCCTGGAGCAAGTAAGTTTCCTTTGTGCTGAGAACTTGACCTTGTGGCACCCAGCTCCAGTCCTTTAAATACAGTCTTTTGAGTATCTGGACCCTTACTTAGCTCTACCTTTCAGCAGGCCCTGTCAAGCTTTGCCACCAAGCAAATGCCACAAGCAATACTTAGCCCAAAAGGTTTATTGGGGAAGGGGAACAGCAAAATGCCTTGTCAGAGTGGGGACATGAGAGAGGCAGGCAGACAGAGACAAGAGGAGGAAGAAAGGCAGGAGAGGAGCAAGAGTGGTAAGATAGGAAAGAGGAAGCAAGAGAGCTGTGCCTAGCGTTCAGCGGCTGCCAGGCCACATAGCTGATGGTGGAAAGGCACCTGGCAACACTGTGGCGGCAGTGGCAGGCTGCTGCCCTGGCAGAAACTGACAAGCTCTCTGTCCTCTCTTGTCATCTATTTCTTCTGGTCTCTCTCCTTTCCTGACCAGCATGAAACGTCTCTGCTGCTGCTCCTTCAGCTGTCAAACAGCTTGCCACTTTTTAGGCGGTCCATGCTGACCATGTTAAACCTGAGATTCACAAGAGAAAAACCAGTTCCACAATTCTGAGTCAAATTTGACTGGCCAGAATGATGGACTCTGGTCAGGTCCATTTCAGGGTTCCCAGGAAACGGCCACCAATCACTTTTTGCAGAGGCTTAAAAGGACAAAAAAACCAGAGGGCCACCTATTTCCCATCAGGTCCTCAGAGGCAAGCTCAGACCACACTATTGAAAGTTGTCAAGATAGTGATGAGAAGAGCCTTTTACTAGACTTAATTATGCAACAACACAAGGATGGAGAGCACAAGAGACTGTCTCCCAGCCGACTCCCTGAGTGAGTCTGAGCAGCCTGAGTTCATGGCTGACAAGGGTCTGTATAAGGCAGACTTATGGCCATTTGTGTTTGGGTCAATCACAGCTGTCTCCTTCAAGACCAGTCACAACAGTCCGGGAAGTTTCTAAGTCACAGGAAGAAGTGTTCCACATCTGGTGTAGGTAGAAATGGTCACAAGGTCATCTGAGTTCACTAATACTTGTGATAGTCAGAAGTCATACAACCCTGAATGGGATTGTACCCTCAGGAGCTGGGTCTATCAGGTGCAGTTGTGCATTTTTATCAAGGCATATCTTAAAGTGTTTCTAGACAGTTGGTGCTAGCAAAAGAGTAGTATAGACTGACTCTTTGACTGAAAGTTTCTTTGCTCAAGGCAGGGAGGGCACAAGGCAGAACCCAACAGTTGTTGAAGGGTTCTAACAGGCCCCAGCATGCAAACATGGTGCCAGTCGGTCTTGTCTTCCACATTTCCCTCTCCATTGCTCATTTAAACTTCCACATTCCTAAAGCTAGCCACCAATGTCTGTTCACTTATTTGGCCACTTCCTTATGCCCATCTCATTCCTAAGGCTGACTACCAAGGTCCAAACACCAAAACACCAAGGTCTAGCAATTCAAATTCATAATTATCTGCACTGATTAACCTGTTGTCAGGACTTCTCAACTCAGTCTGGCAGACTTCCCCTTTTCTCCTTAAGAACAACTCCTACAGAGCCACTGGCTGCTGCTGTCTTCACCCCTCCCTAGCATGTGTGCTTGGCCCTCTTGCTGTGGAATACTCCTTGATGCCGTGTCGCTGTGATTGGTTTAATAAACGGCCAATAGCCAGGCAAGAGGTATAGCAGGGACTTCTGGGTAGAGAAAGCTCTGGGAAGAAGAAAGATGGAGTCCCCAGCCAGATGTTGAGAAAGCAGCATGGGCAGTACAGAGTAAAGGCAACCAAGCCATGTAAAAAATATACATTAAAAGATATGAGTTGATTTAAGATATAAGAGATAATGGCACAAGCCTAGGGTAAGGCCAAGTTTTCACAATTAATAAAAAATCTTTGTGTCATTATTTGGGAGTTTGCAGTCTTGACAAAAAAGTCCAACTACAGATGGCATCCAATGTGCCTTTAATCCCAGCACTTGAGAGGCAGAGGCAGGTGAATCTCTGAGTTTGAAGCTGGCCTGGTCTACAGAGTCAGTTCAAGGACAGCCAGGGCTACACAGAGAACCCCTATCTCAAATAAACAAAAAACAAAATGAAATAAAAAAAACCACAACTGTGTCAAGTGTTTCACAGATGTAAACACTATATATATATGTATATATATATATATATATATATGCTATTATTTAAATTTCTACAACTTTATAAGGTAGTTTCTATTATTATCCATATATTTAGAGATGATTTGGGTATTTTGCCTACAGTTACAGTCACTCAGTCAGTAGTGTTGTAATTTAAGAAAAGTGGTACTCAACAGAAAGATGCCAGTTGACAGGGTTCAGAGAGGTTTTTTATAAAAACCTTTCATAAAAAGGAGCAAGGGGGGGGACCAGCCTCTGGAGATAGGAGCATATGGAGAGAGGAGAGAGGAAAGAGCAAGGAGGGAGAGAAGAGGAGAGAGAGAGAGAGAAGGATGGGGGTGGGCAGGGCCCTTTAAAAGGGAATATAGTGAATATGCACAGGTAGTGCTCTTAGTGGCTACAGCTGAGGGTGTATCCTGTCAGAACCCAAAGGACAGGTCAGTACAGATATCTGAATACTAACAGGTAGAGCACGAGAGTGTTAATCTCAGGGTCATGGGCAACAGATGTAGCACAAATAATAAAATCCAGACACAGATTTTCCGGATTAAAACTGAAGATCAGAAAAGCTAAGTGGCCAGCCACTAGAGAGTTCTTACCTCTATCTATCAGGGCGCAGACAGAAGGGGCGATCCACCGAACTTCAGAGTGCTACCAACTGTACTTCTCCTCAGACTCCTCCTGCCTTACATTCATTCCTCTCTAGTGCTGGGATTAAAGGCGTGGGATCCCAGGTGCTGAGATCACCCTTGTGTGAGCTCTGTTTCTCTTTTAGACTGGATAGATTTCATGTAGCTCAGGGTGTCCTTGAACTAACAGAGATCTGTCTGCCTCTGTCTCCCAAGTGCTGGGTTTAAAGGTGTGTGCCACCACTGCCTGGTCTCTACGGCTAGCTTTGCAGTCTGATCTTTAGGCAAACTTTATTTGTTGAATCATAAACAAAACATCACCACAGGATTTAAGCACAAATCATTTTCAGAACACCAGTTACCGCCTTGTGCCTGTCTGGGCTCATAAGCTACGTTCATAGGCACCCATGCATCTGTATCTTACCTAAGAGCACCAATAAGGCCTCAGCAATGGTAAAATGTTCTCTTGGTTCCCTCAGATAAGGCAGTCACTAGCCTCTTGTACTGAAACACACCTAGCATGTTTCAGTTAATTTACATTTATGTAGCCACGTGTGGCTAAAAGCTGCCATACTGGACAGAATAATTCTCTGCTTTAAAGACACAACATACAATCTAAACCAGAGAGTCACATGTGCAGTAAGTAGCAAAGCACAACAACGGTCTGTGTGCTCTGACACCATTCAGAGCACTTCAAGCATTGGAGATAATTGTTTGTGATGTAAGCCAAGTGTCTGGTCCTCAAAACGAGGCCCCAAGAGAGCAAATTTGATCTGGCAGGCAACAGGAAACCATAGTCGACATCCACACCAGAGATTGATTGATGACAATGTTATATAAAATTGAGGAAGAGATAAACATACAGGGGAGGTTGGAAGCAAAGCCATGCACCAATATCTATTTGCCACACTGGTCTCAGCCTCCCCTGGGTAGATGTTTGATAATCCAAACTGCAAATTTCAAATGGAGCTTCCCCAGTGTAGTGAGAGATACTCAATTGTCTGCACCTGTGGCACAGACCATGCTCATTGGGGGTGGGGACAGGGGCGGATGTTACCTGGGGGAACTAAGGCTGAGTAAGGGACTCCTGCTTGAAGCATGGGCACAGGAGAACATCTGGAGGCATCCTTGGGACCAGGAACCTGCTGGTATTCATCTGTCTATGTTATTTCTCCTTGAATAAACATCTGTTTGGCCTATTTGTTTCTCCTGATCCTTATTAAACCTCATTACCCCACAGGTAATATTACTTGACTCTCTCACCTAAAAAGGAAACTTAATCCTAAATTTGAAGCCCAGAGAAGATCTGCAAACAAAATTTGTGACCAGGAAAAAAAGGCAGGAAAAGAAAATTGCAAAAACATAATTATGCAAAAACAAATATAAGACACATTTAATTGCTAGATTCAGTACAAGTGAAAACTTCCTTTAATTTGGATTTTCCCACTTGGTAAAAAAATTTCCAAGACTGGATGATAGTTGTTGAGAGAACTTACATAATGTATATTATGTCTGTGTGTATGGCCATAGCATAGTTCCTTTTCATTGTCCAGTAGTTTTTGTTTTTGTTTTTGTTTTTTTTTTTTTTACTTATTTTTCAAATTAGTATATCAAGTATCGCTTCGTTATGGCATTCTCAGACAAAACCTGTTTTCTTGACTACCCTACTATGCTATTTCCCTTTTCTTCCCCTAAGTACTTACTCTTATGTTTGTTTGAGTATGTTTGTCTTTTGAGACAGTGTTTCTCTGTGTACCCCTGGCTGTCCTGGAACTAGCAGACCAGATTGGTCTCCATATAAAAGATCCACCTGCCTCTGCCTCTCCAGTACTAGATTAAAGTCATGCACCAACACATCTGGTTTATATTTCTTTTCTTTTTCTTGTTTTTTTTTTTTGAGAGGGTTACTCTGTGTAGCCCTGGTTGTCTTGGAACTCACTCTGTAGATGAGGCTGGCCTCAAACTCAGAGATCCACCTCTCTCTGCTTCCCAAGTGCTGGGATTAAAGGCATGGGCCACCACCACCCAACAGTATTTCTTATTATTTAATAAATATCTTACAAAGCTTAAACCAGGAATTCAGAATCTCTCTCAATAAGACACATAGAATATATAATGTTTCTTTGGGGGAGAAAAAAACATGTGATCACATGTATTCCTTAATGAATGTTTAGACCAGTCTTACCATGTGCATGTACTGGGGATTAGGCATTATTCCTGAGACACCACACATCATTTTTCTCTTTGGGAGGTGATGTTGTGCAAACATAATATAGATGAAGGATTGTCTGAACTTCCACATGTATTTTACTGTTTTGTTTTGTTTTGTTTTTGTTTTTGTTTTTCGAGACAGTGTTTCTGTGTAGCTTTGAATCCTGTCCTGGCACTCTGTAGACCAGGCTGGCCTCAAACTCAGAGATCCACCTGCCTCTGCCTTCCAAGTGCTGGAATTACAGGCAGGCATGCACCACCACTGCCCAGCCCCCACATGTATTTTTCTTGGAGCTCAGAACAACAATACCCAGTCTGCCCCATGAGACACAGAGTGTACACATGCTTTTTTCTTTCTCTTTTGTTCTGGATTCTCTCTTGCTGTAACACGATAAGCATGCACTGTCCTGTCCTATGCAGGCAGCAGGTATTCTGGGACAGAAGCTCAGAGTGATTGGCAAGAAACCTTATCCTTAAAGTTGGAGGCTCAAGGTACTTTCCTACAATTATTGGGCTGCAGTTATCCCGACATTCTATTGCACAGAACTTAGCATAGGAACTTCATCATTCCCAACGCCCTGAAATTGCTCACAAACAACATGCAGGTAAGTTTCTGAACATCTATGGAGCATTTGGTAGCTATTAAAATAGGTTGTTCTACATGTAAATAGCACTGAGAAAATTGGCAAATAGTGCAGTTTGTAACTGCAAGTTTTGTTTTGTTTTTCCTACTCAATTGGCATGGTGAAGGAAGAGTAGGGGTCAGAATTCCTCAGTAGTTACAAGTGAATGTTATATGCTGACAGATCCAAATTCAAATAATGGACCTATGTTGATCCTTTACAGTGTGCTTTTGGGCAGATTATTAAACCTGTCAGGTACTCAGCTTAATTTGGAAGTTAATCTTTCTTAACAGGGTGTCACTGGGGCCAAATGTAGTAGGTCTAAAATGCTCAGTGCACAGTGGCTGGCACAGTGCAAATGCTCAGTAGAGGAAACTCACTGTAAGTTATTTCCTAGCAGTAAGGTTCTAACACACAGTTTTGAGTCCTTTAAAGTTCCTTAGCTCTGTTACAATTCTGCTTGTTCCCTCCCAGATGGGCACTTTCCCTCTCCTTGATAAGGTGCAGTAAGCTTGGCACAGGTCCACTTAGGCCTCTGAAAAGAATGATGTCTGCAGATAATAAGAATCTGCCCACATAGACAGGCATGCTAGATGGGTTAGGAGAGCCAGTCAAAGCTGTCTCTGGTTCAGTATTAGAGTAAAATGAAAGTTATAGTGAAATGTAAATGTCTAATGAATAGCTAGGGTATGGTGGACACCAAAGCAACCACATCATGGAAAACAATCTTTGACCTTTGTAATCAGAGAAGAAACTGATCCGAGTGCTTCCATTCAATAAAGAAGTATATGTATGGTCCCTTAGATTTTAATCACAACAATGTCACTCAATATGTGGCACAGTATATCTGTGTCGGATCCTTCTTTGTATCTCCAGTGTCTCACATAGTATCTAGTTATAAATATATATAAAATTCCACCCAAACAGGGAAGTAAGCAATGGACATTGTGCTCAGTATCCACTTCCCACAAACACTGGAGAAGAGAGATGCAAATGCTTGGGACCAGAGAGACTGCAATCTAGTAGAAGAGAGTAGTGATAGTAATAGACACTTAAAATAGAATGTATTGCTGAGTACTGTGAGAAGCCCCTACAGGGGTTAATGGGTAGAATAAACAGTATGGGAATGGAGCTTAACACATGCAACTCCTTTTCTTACATAGGTGACATTCTGCAGACTCGGACTCACCAGTGGTGTTTCATTCTGTTTAATGCCATACTATTTCATGCCTTGCTCTTTGGAGCTGACTTTGTGGAAGAATACTTTTTATGTTCTTTGCCTCATGTTGATATGAAAATTCTTGAAATTAAGAACAAGACAAGAAAACTGAATGTGGAATCCATAAGTAATCCTTCCAAATATTATGTTCTGAGCCAGCCAGAGGCACCATCTTTCTGCTCTCTCTTATCTTCAGTAGCCCAGGGAGTGGAACAAGGAGGGAGCTCACCAGAAAAACCTGGGGCAGTGTGACCAGTGTCCAAGGATACCCAATTCTCATACTCCAGGCAGAGATAGTTGCAGCGTCTCAGATGAACGATGATATTATTGAAGGCATCTTCTTGGACAGTACAGAAAACCAAACCCCGAAAGTCATCTCAATGACCCAGTGGGCTGTGGCCTTCTTTCCTAATGCCCTATTCATTCTCAAAGCTGACAAAAAGATGTTCATCAATCTCTCAGGCTTGGTTGACTATCTCCTCAGCCTAAAAGAACACCTGGAAGGTATCTATGTAGGAAGAGTTATTCACCTAACATAGACCCCCACAGCCAGGAATTTGTCCCTCTTAGTGAGTACCCAGAAAAATATTACCAAGACTACTGCAGTGGTGGGACATTTATAATGTCCCAACATGTGGCTCAGATGGTGTATGTGATCTTGAAAGAAGCACCTATAATGGTACCCGCTGAGGTATTTGTAGGGATTTATGCTAAGGCCTTACACCCATCCACAGCTCAAGTTTTTCTGGGGAAAGACACATTGTGTATAACAGATGTTGCTACAAGTTCATCTTTACATCCTCAGAAGCTACAGATGCTGAAACTTTACTGGCATGGAGAGAAATAAATGATGGGAAAGAGTGTTTGCTGTTTGAGACTTACTATGGGCTCATTTCCTGCAAACTTCTGACATACCTCAACAGCTTTCGACATTTTCACATGGGGGCCAAGCAAGGCAGTGCTGTGCACTTTGGTGACTAGTATTCACTTGTTTTTCTTTTAAGTCTCTTGCTTTTAAACCACTGTTTGCCCATTACAGAAAGCAACTCTATGTCCCCATGTCATGTAGCAACTCTGAATCTTCAGTCATACCCAGAAAAACCACAAGATGTTCTCAGCTCTGATGTGCTCAATCTCAGCATCTTGTTTTTGATGTTTTAAGACGTTTAGACTAGTATGGTGTGATTCTTTTCAAAATAAAATCTTTCAGAAAAGAGAGGACATTACATTTCATTATAACATGTGTTGTGGTATACAGAGTCTTATATACCTAAACATTTTTACACTTGTTATTTTGTGTGTATGCATGCTTGTGCGCATAAGTGTTCGTGTCACAGGGCATGTATGGATATCAAAGAACAAAGAACAAAAGGAGTCAGTTCTCTTCTTTCAACATGTATATTCTAGTCAAGGAATTCAAATCAGTAGACTTAGTAGCAATCACCCTTACCCACTGGCCCATACAAGTAATAAATAGTTATAGTACATTCTGGAATACCTAAATCCATTTATTTAACTTAAGTTTCCTTACATAATTTTTTTTGTGGTAAAAACCACTTAAAATGTATGCTCCCAGCAGTTTTAATATATATAATCTATCTCCATTAACTATCATTATTGTGACATGCAATAGACTCCTCAACTTACCTTCTATCAAACTGATACTGTTTGGTCCCTTGGCTAACAGCCCTCTGATCTGGAAACCATCATTTTATTGAGTTTGTTGATTTTACCCTGAATAAGTGAATGAAAATGTGGTTGTCTTTTGTGCTTGGCCTATTCCACTTCCCATGATGTCCTCTTGTTCCTCCATGTTGATGCAAATGATAGTTTTTTTTTCTTTTAAACTTATGTTTTCTTTTAAACTTTACTGGTTCCTTGGGAGTTTCATGCCATGCACCCCAATCTGCCTACCTCTCCATCCCTCCAGATCCTCCCCTCACTCCTGCAGCATTCTCTCAAAAGAACACCCCAAAGTCAATTAAAAACAAAACAAAAGCCAAGCAGTGGTGATACATGCCTTTAACCCCAGAACTTGGGAGGCAGAGGCAGGTGGATTTCTGTGAGTTCGAGGCTAGCCAGTTCCAGAACAGGCTCCAAGTCTACACAGAGAAACCCTGTGTTTCAACAAAAAACAAACAAACAAAAAGAAACACCCAAAAAAATATCCCTCACTCCTCCATCTAGGATAACAGGTGTGCTTCACCATATATATGTCCAGTATGTGGACATTTATATCTCTCTCAAAGTTTGTAGTGTCCTAAGATGGTTTCTTTAAAGTAATTGTTCTATTTCACTATGGGTCCTCCTACAATTCAAAGACTTGGTCTCATGACACTGTTCCATGAATCCTATAAACTGTCTCCTATTTTTCATTTCTTATATTTTATTCTCCTCTGATAATGTATTTTCCACTAGTCTGACTTTGAATTTAGATTTTTTCTGGAAGTTAGTCTCCCAAGAGCCTTATTTAAGGCCTTCTTCATCTTTTCTCCCCTTGACAATCTGATAATGTGAGAATCTGTTGGTAAATCCTAGAGGATTTTTTCATTTTTCTCCTGCCCCACTCTGCATTATTTCTAAAGACTTGAATCATTTTTTAAAAGAATTTAAAATTTTTATTTATGTGTCTGTGTGCTGGTGCCTGTAGAGACCAGAAAATGGCATTTTGGAGTTACAAACAGATGTGAACCACCAGATAGTACTGGGAACCAAACTCAAGTCCTCTTCAAGAGTTGCAAGTTATCTTTTGAGATGTTGGGCCACCTCAAAACTCAGAAATCTTTTGTTTGAGCTGGTTTTGTTTGAATTTTTCAGCTCCAAGATTAGTGTGTGTGTGTGTGATTTTCTTTCACACAGATGAAGAATGCTTTCTTGCTTTTACTAAATGGCCTGAGTTCTTTGGTGTCTGTGTTTTCTTGAAATCATTATTTTGATGTCCTCATTAGGGAATTCATAAATTCCATCTGTGGGGTTAGTTACTGGAGAATTACCAGATTCATTTGATAGTATCTGTCTTAGTTGGTGTTCTATTGTGTGAAGAGAGACCATTACCACAGCAACTCTTATAAAGGAAGATATTTAACTGGGGCTGGCTTACAGTTCAGAGATTTAGTCCATTACCATTGTGGGAAGCATGGTGGCATGCAGGCAGACATGGTGCTGGAGGAGCCGAGAGTTCTACATCTGGATCAGCACAGACAGCCAGCCAGCCACTAGGCCCTGCTTGGGTTCCTAAAACCCCAAAGTTCACCCCAAGTCACACCCACTCCAGTAAGGCCACACCTCCTAATAGTGTCACTCTCTTATGTCCAAATATTCAAATATTTGAGGCTATGGGGGCCATGCCATTTCTACTTAAACCACTACATTTTATGTCTCTATTGCTCTCTGCACATATTCTCTAATTTTAGAGAGCAGTTCATAGAGCCTCACCAGTACTTGGAACCTGGTTTGTTTGATGGGCAGGGATTGTTGTTCTGGTTCTTGCTGAAACAAGTTTGCTTCTGTACAGCTTCTCTGGCTGTGGTCAATGTCACCAATTACTGTGACTGCTTCAGTGGCCTGGGGCCATGTTTCTGTAGCAACAGATTTTAGGGCTCTTGATGATAAGGACTCAAGGTCAGTCCTGTTCTAAGTTTCCAAAGGATTAACTGACTTGAGAGGATCCAGGGCTCAGTGTCCCACTGAACAACTAAGGTACCTGTGACATGCAAACAGGTTCACTCTTAGGCATAGGTCGATACAGCTTTCTCCTCAAGCCAAGGTCTGTAATTCTACGGAATTTCCCAGCAGCTCAGATGCCTGGGACAAAGATACCACTGTGAATCTGGTGCTAAGCATCATGGTCCAGGGAGGATATGTGTTCCAGAGATGATGTTGTGAAATAAATTTTTTCTGCAGAGACAATATGATGGGAGATGTCATTCTGTAAATATGTTTCTCATATTGGTTAATGAATAAAGCCCTGTTGGGCAAGAGGAGAGGAAGATATGTGGGACTAGGAGACTAGGAGGTTCGAGATGGAGAATGGAGAGAAGAATGCCAGGCCCTCTCTCTGTTAAGATGAGATCACGTGGAAATACTTAGATTAATAGGAATGGGTTAATATTTAAGACAGAGCTAGCCAATAAGAAACTAGTAACTGGCCAACAGAATTATATTTAATACAGCATCTCTGTGTGTTATTTGGGGCTGGCACGGTGGTGGGACCAGACCGGCAGGAAAAAACAACTCTTAACTGGTGCCTTCAATGTGGCTAATAACTTCCATTTAAAACTTAAGAAAAACTTAAGAAAAGGTTTTAAAAACAAAAGAACAGAGAAAAGCAAAGTTCTTGGTAGCAACATTTTTCTCAGTTGGACTCTGTTTTACTAGAGACAAGCAGAGACTTGTGTGGCTCCATTTAGGTAGGTTTTCTGACTCAGCATAAGCTGCAAAAAACCTCAAGGCTTTTAAAGAGCTCTGCTAACAACTTAATGTTGTGTAGGAGAGCTGGCAATGGCAGTGACCACATCTCCAAACTGGCAGCATGCTGCTGGATGGCAGCGTAGACCAAGGCAGTGAGCACAGCTCTTAGTTCTGGCAGTAAAGGTACCCACTGCCATCTTATAAACTGCGGCTAAAATAGTTGTGGCTTTCATTTTAGCAATGTTGTTTACCAGATAAAAGACTTCTGGCCACAAGAAGACAAAGCTTTCCAGTAAAGACAGATTCAGATTAAGAAAAACCTCTAAAGGTTTACAGTGTGTTTTAAAATATACGTAGGCTTGGGAGAGAAAGAGAAACAGGATAAAATGGTTTAAAAAGAATAATAAAAGAAAGAGAGTAGTGGAATGTGGTGGCACATGCCTTTAATTCCAGCACTTGGGAGGCAGAGACAAGCAGATATCTGTGATTTAGAGTAAACCTGGTATACAGAGTTAATTCCAGGACAGAGAAAAGTTACACAGAGAAACCCTGTCTCAAAAAATGAAAAAAATAGAAGCAGAAGAAATAGAGTAATAAAAAAGCCACATAAAGATGGAAAGCACAGAGAGAATCTGGATACTGTATGGGATATTGTCTTTGTATTGTTTGACTACTGAGGAAATAACTGTTAAAAGAAATGCTGCTGGATTAATTCAATTTATATATTTTAAAAATGCTTGACTTCAAAATTTAAGTCTAAGGACAGGTTACTGGGGAAAAGGATTTATATTTTTGTTTTCACAGAAAATGAAAAGCTGTGGATTCCTTCTAGACTAACATGGTTTGATCAAGCCAGACCCCCTGAAACAGAGTCCCAGGTGATCCAACATTCAAAACAGTGGGGATAAGACAGCCTTGCAGACTACAGCCAGGATTTCTGTATCAGGGACAGCTGTATCACCCCAGCCTACAGGCAGCACATCAGGTAGGAGGGTGTGCTTTCCTAGGGATTCAATGGGACTAAACCTCTTCCAGGCATCTGGCCAGGTCTTCTTTGTAGCTTGGCTTTATGCTTACTCTGGCAGGGAGGGGGGTCTAGTGAATCTGGTCAGTTTCAGGTACTTCCTGAAACTATTTTGAGTGTTTATGTCCCTGCTTAAGACGCTTCCTTGTAGGATGGAAGTTTTCAACCTCCTACACAACAGGTACAAATAGATACTAAATAGTGGAACACAGTTCCAATTTGGGTTCTGAAGTCAATGGGGACAGTGGCAGCTTGAGCAGTGGCATGAAGTGTGCTGCTTTGTGGTGATGTACATGCTTAGTGTGAGGACAGGGTGGTGAGGGCCTCTGAGATTGGAGCTGCAATGGCAGCCATGTCCTGGAAATGGTGGGGCACAGTCGGCATGGACTGTGGTGGGAGGGAGGTAGTATAGTACTGACTTCATTCCCCATCTAGTGGGGGTAGTCAAGCATCTCAGAATATAAGGCAAGCTCAGATGCAGGAAGGTGAGACACTGGCTGTTCCTTCCAGAGATGATACAGACCAGCCAAGGATGTTTCCTTGAGAAGGGGTGTTATGAAAGTTCAGGCACCAAGGTTGTTCCTCTGAATTAAAGCTCTAGTGCCCTGCAGTCAGGGCAACACACTGGTGTAGGCCTTAAAGGAAAATAGCTTTTTCATTAGATGTGTCTATTTCTAGAGGGGCAAGGCACATGCAAATCAATAACAAGTCTCTCACGGCTGTTTTCCTGGACCTGGGTTCTAAACAGTTAAGGGCAAGCAGCAGCAGCAATGGGGCAGAAGTTGGCATGCTTCCTAGACAGCTCATTACCATGGAAGAGACCTAGAACAATGTGATTGGTGGCCACCTGTGTGAGTGTGGAGCAGTGTGGAGAAGCATCAGAACAGAGCTGCTAGTTAGCGCACCATAGTAGGGACTCTATCTTGTTTCCTAAGCTTGGGGGCTGTGAAACCTTGGAATTAGGATCAGCAATGTGGATATATACAGCATTTCTCAGCAATATGGAATACAAGGCTGCTTACTGGTGGTGGTTGTGATGATATCTCAGGTGCTGGTGGTAGGAGTGTGGACAACTCTAAGAGTGTCTGTGGACCAGTTTCTAAAGGTTTGAGAGATATGGCAACTTTCCTCCCAAAGAACTTTAATAGCATAGTAGTCATTTCTGTAGGTACAGTGGGGAAACAGTACTGCTCTGACCCCCTCTTTAGGGTCCACTGGCAGAAATAAATATTGGTTATTCAGGAGACAAGACATACCTGGACCTGTGTCGTCTTTACACCTGGCCATTCGCCATTCTGCTGGTGTTTGTTTTGCCCTCAAGCCTTCTCCAGGCTGTTTCAGTTCGTGAAGACCCCCCCCCCCCACACGTACGTTATGCCTTCATCACGAGTGCCTCCAGAGACCACCAGGAGTCCAAGTTTGTATGCAAAATCAAAGAGCCTTTATTATAAGTTCCAGCTTGGGCTCTCTACCCATTCTGACACAGTGGTTGGATCTGGGAAAGCATTGAGCTCAGCAATGGTAGGGTTTTTAAGCAGTAAAGGATGGGGGGGGGAGGGGAGATAGTGGAATGTTGGATTCAGTTGGGGGTTGAACTTGTGATTGGGCAGGAGTGAGGTAACAAAAGCCTTGTCAAGCAGGGACTGGTATTGGTGCTACTGTAAGAAAACTGGCAACCTATATACAAGTTAGGTAAGCTATTCTTAATGCTCTGGAGAAGCTAGTACTTGTCTCAATTCTGATTGGTCCCCCACAGGGTAGTCTGTGGCTTTTCCTGGTTATTATAAGGGTGAAGCCTAATCCTAGTATTTTTAGTCTGCAGCCTGTCATGTTAAATCTGGCCTCTTTGAACATACCTTGTGTATTAAATGCAAAATAGTTAACTTATAGCTCTTATTAAATTTGAAAAAAAAAAAAGCACAACAAAAGCAGAATGAGAGATGGGTGTGACGGTGCACACCTTTAATCCCAGTATTTGGGAGGCAGAGGCAGGTGGAACTCTGAGTTTGAGGTCAGCCTGGAGATGGATAGCAATAATCACTGTACAACATCTGCACATATATATAATGCCATCAAAAAGTACACTTACAATGGCTATATTTTATTTCACCATGTGATATAAATGTATATATGTTTATTTTACTACAATCAAAAGTTAAAGGAGGCCAGGTGGTGGTGGCACACCCCTTTAATCCCAGCACTCTGGAGGCAGAGGCAGGTGTATCTATGAGTTCAAGGTCAGCCTGGTGTACAGAGTGAGTTCCAGGACAGCCAGGGCTATTACACTGAGAATCCCTGTCTCAGATAAAAACAAAAACAAACACAAATAAAACAAAACCCCACAACTACTAGAACAGAAAAGTTCAGGGGAAAAACCCAACATCATGAATATCATTCAAGCGTAAGTCTCTCTGAGTATTTCCTAACAGGAAATATCTGACTGTAGCTTGAGATATTGGAAGTAAAGAAACTATCGGTATGGAAAAAGGAAACTCAGAGACAACAGAGAAATGATACAACTGGACCAGAATTTCAGTTCCTTGAGAATCATGTCATAGGAAGGCATGACTTATCAACCTTACCACAGCCTAAAAGAATTACTTCCTGGTTCTAAATTGGTCACTGCCAAGCTCATGCAGAACTGATTTCAGTGTGTAGAGAGCCTTACTGTTTACAGAGAACACGGGAAAAAACAGGCAGAAGAGAACCGTCTGTAAGCCAATGAGACGGCATCTCAGTTGCATACATTGTCTTCTCTATTCTGACTTTCATGGATCAGAGAATTACCCCCAAAACCTTCACAATAATGACCCACCAATGAAGCAACAGTTAACTGAACTGTCTGGTTAAGGCTCATTTCCCTTTCTCTCTCGTAATGAAACACCATAAAATTGACAAATAGCAGAAGTACCAATCCCAAACAAATTTTAGAGATTTTCATTTTCAAAGGAAAAAGTAACCAAGAAATCTTATTAAAACCATTTATTCCTTGTGTACAAATAACACAATTTGATGATTCCAAATGACATATTTTTCAGAAACTATTCAAGAATTCCAAGGAGAAACTTTGGCCAGCCCACCTAAGTAGGTGCCCAGGCCAGCCCATGAGCATGCGTGGCAGGAACTTCTTCCCTGAGCCAAGCCTGTCTCTATCCCAGAGACTGCTGACAAGACACCTGACCCAGAGACACCAATGAAGGACAACGCAGTAGACTCAGCTGCCTGAGCCAATAGGACCATGGGTGGTGATATAAAGGCAGGCCTAACTTCCTCAATAAATGAGTCTGCAGCATGCTCTGCTACTCACTGACTCCCAGTGCCTGAGTTGTTGGTGCTGTGTCTTCTTATCCCCACCCCCAAGGGGTCTCTGAGCAGAGATGAGATCAGATGGGGGGGGGAAGTGGTGAAATCAGAATCATTTTTTCATTTTATTTTTAGGTGAGGTCATGAGTGTGTCCATGGAAGCTTTCTGAGAAAACCAACCTTTGACCCTGCAGCAGAGACTGCATCACCCAGAGGACCAGCAGGGAAAAGCTTACTGCTCTCCTAGTTATGCTGATGTGTTCACTGCAAGGTGTCTGGTCCACAACACATTTATGTAGGGACAGCACTGCTGATTAAGGCTGCACCAGACACAACATGATAGCACTGGAGGAGGAAGCCCCTGCTCTCTGAAACACAGATGGAATCATATGCCTTGACAAACTCTGGTCAAAACAGGGTCTTCTGTCCTAACCTAAAGAAATCAATCCGCTCCTTCCACTGCTGTCGTGGCAACAGGTTTCACATAGTATGGACCTTCACTTAGGTAGGTTCTGAGTCTCAAGTAATTTGAGTTCCCAAAGATCTCTGCAATGGTCTTGGAATTGGCAAGTGCTTTTACCAGTTCATATTTGGCATCCTTTGAAGCTTTGTCATGTTCCACAGACCGGTCCATCACAAATTCTACAAAACCTGGACTGTTAAACATAAGTTTCTGAGCCCAGGGCTGGTTTGCAATAGCCTGAAATTGAAGGCAGAAAGAGAATACAATTCATCTAGGCCTTAAGAAGGCAAGTCCATTAGTGGAACAACAACACAATACTCAGAAATACACTTGGCAGCACAAACCTTACAGGCACCACCCTTGGTCCAAGTAAACAAACTCCTGAGAAACATATTTTAAATAACATTACATATTAAAAGCTTTGTATACTTTGTTCACAGTGTTCATCACAATGCAAAAGCTTTAAATGTCTAATAATGGACCCAATTAAGTAAACTATGGCTCACTGCGATAAAACCTTAAGACTTAATTATTTATAAAGAACACCCAATGTCAGGAGTAAATCTACCATTCGTGTGAAAGACAGAGCAGTGGTTCTCACCTTTCCTAACGCTGCAATCCTTTAATATAGCTCCTCCTGTTGTGGTGACTCCAACTATAAAATTATTTCATTGCTACTTCATAACTGCAATTTTGCTACTGTTATGAGTCATAATATAAATACTACTGGAGATAAAGATTTGCCAAAGGGAAAGTGAGCCACAGTAAGAGAACTGCTGACATAGATCTGATTTCTAGACAACACTAAAATAAGGTACAAAAATAAAGAGCAAAACCAGAGAAGACAATGTTGCTTCAGGGACACTCTTGAAATGGAGTTTGTCTGTGTACTCCTGGCTGTCCTAGAACTCACTCTGTAGACCAGGTTGGCCTTGAACTCAGAGATCCGCCTTCTTCTGCTTTCCAAGTGCGTCACCACAACCCAGCATAGTCACTCTTAAACTTGGTCACAAGAGAATCCTCTTGGGGAATGTTCACTGTAGCATAATTTGTAACATGCATCTAAATCCTCCTTTGCAGGAGAATGACACATTGTGCCTAAGCCAACAGAATGAGGATTTTCTATTGGCCTATTTTAAATCAGATGCACTTTAAAACTAAAACCTAATTATGTATGATCCGCCCTGAAAGCAGTAGAACCATCAGCACTGGCCTGTGAACACTGCACCCATGACAGTTAGACTTAGGAAAGAGGACCATGAGTGTGATCAGGCAGAGTACTGAGCATACACCAGCAACTCTCCTCTGGAAACACTGTACTCCAAGTGAGTCAATACTAAAACTAAGACCAAATAAAAAGCACGAAAACTGTGGGATTTGAAATTTCCTATTTTTCAGTTTCTCAAATTTTAAAATAATGAATCAGCAACCTACATGTTTATCAAAATCTCATTACTACATTTAGAATGTTTCCAGCCTCATTTCTTCCTCAGGCTGGCAGCATCAGCCCCCCCCCCCCCACACACACACATCAGAGCGTCAGAAGAACAAGAACTAAGGCTGTGAGACATCAACACAGATAGCTGTTTCCAAGGTAAGGCATCCTGAAGCACTTTTAAAGTCTTACTGTTTTAGACCTTACAGGAACACATGTGTTCCTTAAACATGCTTTAGGAAATCTGCCTCTCTCATTTCCACTCAGTATGGCCTAATGTGCGTCCTGGGATTGGGATAAAACCACTAATCTGATTACACTAGCCAGGATGACTGGTACACTGCAAAGTGCTAGGGCTAAAAAAGGTAAACAGGGGAAGGAGTTAATAAACATTTCAACATAATAATAAAGCATCACAGGTATAATCCATACCTTAAATATAATTTTATAATGAATTTTATAACTCTATTGATGGTCTGGCTCCCTCCACAGACTGGCAGTTTCAGAAAAGGCTCAACCTCTAACAGGGTAGGAAAACTCAGTTTGTTGAATGAACATATCACCTATGAGAACGAGTATCAATTAACTCCACTGTATAGACTCAGGTTCTCAAGCAAAGTCAGCAAAGAATGCTGACAACGGTGAGAAAGCACAGGAAAGGTGGGAGGTCAGAAACCAGTCACCTTAGTCACCTGAGCACCAAGTGCAGAAGGGACAGCAGGAATTAAGTCAGGAAAGAGACCAGGGCAAGGTCAGCAGAGTTCAGGAGGTGGGATTAATCTGCAATTAATTAGCTAATGTGTAATCTGTATCCAACAGTAGCTTGTTCTACCTCAAACAACATCAGATACCTTTACCTGATAACCTGTTGCCATGTGTCTTCCTCACTGGCCCTGCAGTAGCAGGGGCAGAAACTGTTGTGTGCATGCACAGATGCAGTGGCTAGCTCATTCTGAGTGCTCTGTGTTGAGCTGGCAGTCACTAAGGAGAGAATACCTACTGTGAACACTTTTAAGGCAGCACAGTGTAGTTCAGGGAAGGGTTGGTTACTGATGCCACGGAAGAGCTCCAGGGAGTCTTGAGATAAGGAGGAAAACCAGGATTCTGCCATCCTCAGGAAGTCCTCAGTCTGCTGTTCAGGCTACAAGACAGAAAGGAAAACGCTCACGACAAGGTTAGCATATCTGGAGAAAGGCTAGCAGCTATGGTGCAAAGAGCCTTGTATGAATGGCACCAAGGAGCTACCCTTGGAGAACTCATCCCCAAATCTAGCCCAGAGAGTCCCTACTTTTGTTGGAAGGGATGAAATAATCCCTAGGTTCTCCTTAGTTCTATTATACCACTTTACATTTACACATTAGTAATCAGGCTGCTGAGATGGTTCAATGGGCAAAAGCACTTGCTGTGTAAGCTTGATGGTCTGAGTTCAATCCCTGGATTTTATATAAAAGCAGGAAGAATTGACTTCGAAAAGCTGTCCTGACCCTCACATGTGTACTATGGCATGTGTGCCCATACATATGCACCTTCCTCCATCCCTCCTTCTCGCATACACAATAATAAATAAAATTTAGGAGGCAAGGAGAGGGTTATGTGTAAGCTAACCAAAAATAAAGAAGACCTTCCACCATCCATTTTAAAGGAATTTGAATGGTGGTACCCTGCATGAGTGGACAATGCTGTTCCCAGAAGAAACAGGTTACTAAATGAAAACCTCAGTGACTCCCTATAAGTTAACTGGGAGATCCCAGAGACCCCCCCCCCCACACACAAATTAAAACAAGCTATGCCTATTGCTCTTGGTTGCCCACCATAATTACATGGTAAAAGGCCCCCAGACTTTAAGACACAGAGAAATCAATGACTAGGAAACTTTGGTTCAGCTGACTATCTTCCATAGTACCAAAAGGAAGAAGAGACATCAGTGTCTTCACAAGTACTGAAGGCTACAGATTGACTTTCAAAGATGTGTCCACGGTATAGACTGCAATGACTGTTATGAGGATAACCACCTCTGACAGGGTCCAAGGACAGCGCCACAAGTCAGAATTCATGCTTGGCACTGTAAATCTTATCAAAGGCCAGAGCTGGGGGCTGGAGAGATGACTCAGAGGTTAAGATGATCTTTTTGAGGACCCAGGTTCGATTCCCAGCACCCACATGGAGGCTCATAACCACCTATAATTCCAGTTCCAGGGATCCAATGCCCTTTCCTGGCCTCCAAGGGCACTGCACAGAGGTGGACCTACTACTACTGCTGTTTGCTAACTGGTTCATTCATACTCTTAGATTTATGATGGCTCCAACTTCGGTCAGAGATGCTTAGCTTTGTAGTGGGCAGTGCTCACTGAGGACACATGACTTAACTGCTAAGCCAAAAATAAGAGCTCTAGCAATCCCCAACTCTCCAATGTGCAGGGAACTCTGCAGGAGAGAGGATGAAAGAGTGTGGAAGCTGGGGTTGGGGAGGAGCCATGACATGCTAACCTCTGGACAGAGAGTGATAGCAACACTCAGATCCCTAGTAGCTGTGGTTACCTGCACAAGCTTAAACCTGCCAAAATCCCCATACAGATGAGGTAGAGCTATAGGCAGCTGACAGCAGCCAGAGAACGGACAGCCTTTGCAAGTATGGTTATGATCTCATACTCCTGTGCACAATGGGCACCACTAATTGGACTCAGTGGTTATGAAAGATGAGAGGGAGAAAGACAGACAGACATACATGAAGTTTGGAGGAGGGCACTGGAGGAACACGGAGGGGCTGTTAAAGAAGAGTGGATACAATCAAAATGTACGTATACATGTATGAAGCTCAAAGAATTAATTAAAAAAAAGTCTAAAATTTTTTCATGTAATGAGTCATATAGTGAAATTATCATCTTCTTTGTGTTGTTTTTTTTTGAGACAGGGTTTCTCTATGTAACCCTGTCTGTCCTAGAACATACCAAGTAGACCAGGCTGGCCTGGAGCTCAGAGATCCGACTGCCCCTGCCTCTTAAGTGCTGTGATTAGAGGTGTGTACCACCTTTATCACAGCATGACACCCATGTGAACATTAACCTAACTAGTGCCAAGCTGACTCATCCTCCCAAACATAACCCACTGCCCTTCAGTTATTTCTCCATCTACTCACTGGTAAATAAAGAAGACAGGAAACTGCATCCAAACATCTAGTTTTTAGCTCTGTAGAAGCGTTCTTTGCTTGATAACCTATTCTTGTGAGGAGGTGTTCAAAGCGGGTTCCTGTGAAGGATAATGGTGAGAGAACATAAAACATACCATTTTAACCATCTTAAACACAGTTAGTGCTACTAATGACACTAAGATTGCTGTGCAACCATCACCATCTAGAATGTCTCCAACAACCCAGACTGATGCTCTGTACCCACTCTCCCTTCTCTCATGCCCTGGTATGCACTCTCCACTTTCTGTTTCTATGAACCTGACCTCCCTATGTGCATATTATAATCTTGTCTGTGAAATCATGTAGTATTCATCTTCCAAGCCCGGCTTTCTTCTCTTAGCATAATGCCTTCAAACTTCCTCTAGGCTGCAGTTTGTGTCACAATTTCATACTTTTACAAGATTCCACCAAATGCAATCCAGCAATGCACACTGGTTTCCAATTATTTAGAGCAGACTAATACTGCTATGACAAGAATATACAGACATCTGATTGAGCCTGTGCTTTCCATGTTGTTTAGTTCATATCTAGAAGTGGAATTGCTGGCTCATGGTAAATTTTTTTTTCTTTTCTTTTTTTTTTTTTTTTTTGAGACAAGGTTAGCCTGTGGCTTTGGAGGCTGTCCTGGAACTAGCTCTTGTAGACTAGGCTGGCCTTGAACTCACAGAGATCCACCTGCCTCTGCCTTCTAAGTGCTGGGATTAAAGGAGTGCACCACCACTGCTTGGCCATGTTAATTCTATGTTTAATTTTTATTTAGTTTATACTGTTTTCTACATTAATTGTACCATTTCATAGTCTGATCAAAAAAGTTTTTCAACATCTGAACACTTGTTATGCTTTTTAATTAAAAAAAATTAATGACATCCTAATAGGTGTGAAGTGGAAAAGGCAAATATCCTTTCATGAATTGTGATTATCAACCTAAAACACAAAAAGAGGGATGTGCTCAGAGATTATGTGACAGATCCCAAACAGCATTTCACTTGTACAGGACTGGCTGAAAGGCTGCAGTCTGCACAAGCATCTTACAAAAGCCAAGAGAAGTCATACCAACCTGCCTTCTGTAAAACCTGTTTTCCTTCAACACTGGATCCCAGGATTCCGACCGTGTCCACAGCTACACCAATCATGGTGGGGTCCTGACTGTCTGCCATTTCAAACACTTTCTCCAGAAAGACAGGGTAGCGCTCACAGATTTGTTGAGGACTATCCATGACAGCCAGGTTTCCAAAGAACTTCACAAACCCTAAATATATTAATAAAAAATAAATTTTAACAGCACAAATTGGGGACCCCATGTTTCTACAGGAATACTAATAAATGCAGGCCAGAAAGAGGAGACAGACAAGTACTGTGTTGTCTACAGAGCAGAGCCAAAAAGGAAATTGTAAGACCCATAAGATGTGATTCTGAGAGAACCGAAACCCCAATGTGTCAATGGAGCTCAGGAAGCAGAGATGCATCTGTGAGTTCTAGGCCAGCCTGGTCTATATAGTGAGTTACAGTCAGGGAGAGAGGGAGGGAAGGAAATGGAGGGCAGAGAGAGGGAGACAGGGAGAGGAAGAGGGAGATAAAGAGAGACACTGAAGGTGAGGGAGAGGAAGGAAACACGTGTGCACTGATGGATAGCAGTGATGTGCAGGCAAGCTTGAAGACATGATTGGAAGAAACTGTTAGAGAGGTGCATACACTAATAAAATACAGCAGTCCACCTCAGGGAGCACAATCCTCCAGCTAGTACAAGTGTTCCATGAAAACCAATCAACTTGTCTTGGAATGAAATGGGTGGAGTGGACCCTCTAGCATCTCACTTCAGAGACTGTATGAATCTGGTACACATTGTAAATACTGTTATTGGTATTTTGATTTACTTTTCACTGAACTTTAAAACCATCTATGTTCTCATAACATCAGTGCAATCTTCCCTGGGCAAAAGATTCCACCTCACTGAGGGGTTCCGAGTATATTTGCTTGCTTATTTATTTATTTAGTTTTTCAAGACAGAGTTTTTCTGTGTAGCCTTGGCTGTCCTGGAACTCAACTCTATAGATAAGGGTGGCCTCGAACTCACAGAGATCCACCTGCCTCTGCCTCCTGTGTAGTGATATGTTACTTATAATTTATTAAAGCTTCAGAAAGGATTCAGAAAGCAAAGTCAGCCACAAGCCATAGAAGCCAGGCACACACCTTTAATCCCAGCAGCCAGAAGCTAGGAGGTGGTGCACACCTTTAATCTTAGGACTCAGGATTAAGAGATAATCAGATCTCTCTGAGTTCAAGGCAATCCAGGGATGTATGAGATTGAATCAGTCTAAAAGAATAACAGATCAAACACCTTTAATCCCAGCACTAGAGGGGCATAAAGGACAGGAGCAAGTATTCAGTAGGAGGCATTCATTTTCTAGCCACATTGAGGAAAGGTTACAGTCTGAGGCTTGGTGAGAGCTCAGCCTGAGATAGCAGTAAGAGCTAGTGGCCAGCTGCTTTGCTTTTCTGATATTTGGCTTGAAGTTTGAACCCCAGCATCAGTTTCTGGGTCTTTTATTAATTCGTGCTACATCATGAGTGTTGGGATTAAAGACATGAGCCACTACTGCCTGGCGCCTATCTTTTTTAAAAATCAACTTTTTAAACTAACAAATAAAAAAGTATAAGCTATTATGATTATCACATGTGGAAATATATTTGCACTGTAATATATCCTAGGCAAACAAAATTTGACAGAATACATTGTTAACAGTTATCACCTTGTACTTGTTCCTGGTACTTTGAATGTTCTAACAGCTATACAGATATGCCCTAGTAGCCCCTGTAATCACTAACCTATTCCTGAGTTTAACTTTTCTAGATTATACATGTAAGTAAGATCACCTAGTATGCATTTCATTCACCATGTCTGTTCTTCAGGCTCAACCAGTGTGCAAATGACGGGATCTCTATTTTTGAGGCTGCATAGCATTCCACTGTATATACAGTCCATATCTTGTCCATTGAAAATGCTGCAGCCTGTCCTGAAACTCGCTCTGTAGACCAGGCTGGCCTCGATGCTGGGACTAAAGGCATGCGCCACAAACGCCCGGCTAGTCCACATGTCTTTACAGGAGTAGGATGGGTGTTTTAATTACGAAGTATTCTTTTTTCAGATGCTATCACGATGGGAGTGTTTCCTTGAGTTCTCTTTGAACAGTTTGTTAATGTCATAGGCTACGAATCCTGTATGCTGCTGCTGATCCTACAACTTCACTGATTTCATTTCTTAGCTGTGACAGTTTCTGAGTGGAGTCTTTGACGCATTCTGCATGTATGATCATGTCACCCACCCCTATAGACAGGAATAATTTCTTATCTTCCTCTTGGATTTAGATACCTTTTTTTTCCTTTCCCAACATGTCTAGGATTTCCCACATTACACTGAACAGAAGTAGTAAGAAAGGGATCACTGCTCCTGATCTTAAAGGAAAGGCTTTCAACTTCTGACACTTGAACACATCATCAGCTACAGATTTGTCACTCATGGCCTGTACTGTGTTAAAATGCATTTCTTCTTTTACACTAGTTAACCGAGCTGTCATAAAAGGATGTTGGAATTTTTATCAGATGTATCTTTGGTATCTGCTGGTATGTTTTAGTCCTTCACTTAGTAATCTGGTGTATTCTATTGGTGGACATGGGTTCACTGAGTCATTCGATGGTGACTCGTGATCCCTTCACTTGACTACTGGCAGCTGTGGATGTCCTGTACAGGAAGCTGTACTAAGAAGGGTGATCCTGACCTTCAGATGCCCATGTAACTCAGCTCTCACCTGGCAAATAGAAGCCAGAGAAAGGGTCTGAATCTGCTCCAACAATTATATTAGATATCTGGTCAATGACTCCTTCCTGAGCAAGGTATTGTCGTCCATGATGGGTATATGCTAGTGATGTCACCATTTCTATACAGGTGGCTCTAAAATCAAAAAGGATAAAAATGGAGAACATTTTAAAACGGCTTTCACACTAGTTCTATTTTAATTTTCCCCACTAAATCTGATGGCCCATGTCCTGGCTTCCTTTTCAGATGAGGACACAAGAGCAACACTATTTTCCTAATTTGGAATCACTTGTTACAGTGGAGTTCAAATTTGAGGCCTGACCTTCAGACTGGAGACCCACTATTTCTCTAACAGCTATAACATACTAAGCAAAGAGCACACTTGCCCAGGATTAGAGGATATGGTCACATGAAAACAGCTAAAACTTCTCGCAGGGCTTTGCCAAGCTCAATATGTCATGATATAATGTGTGATTTCCTAGAATGCTTCCTGAATATAAACAGCAGTCCTGAGACTGCAAACTGTGTACAGTCTCCAACAGCACAACCCACTTAAGACCCACAGTTGCTTTCTGACATTCCAAAAAAGGCATTTATCTCTTAAGAAGGCTGAGTCCACACACCTGACCAGCACGTCCTCACCCGTCAGCTCTCTCAGGAGCTGGGTCACCAGCCCACTTGTGGTACAGTAGTTTAAAGATTCTGACGACACAGAAGAAATCTCTACAATTAGCTGAAAGAACAGAGAGACAAAAGGTCAAAACAATCCCAAAACCACTAGATCTCACTTAAGTTAAATGCTGAACTATGCACTATATTTGTAATTGAGTTCTCTCTCTTCCCTTTTTTTTTTTTTTTTTTTTTTTTTTTCTCTCGAGACAGGATTCCTCTGTGTAGCCCTGGCTGTCCTGGAACTCACTTTGTAGACCATGCTGACCTCAAACTCACTGAGCTCCACCTACCTTTGCCTCCCAAGTGATTAAAGGTGTGCACAACCACTACCTGGCTGTAATTGAGTTCTTAACAATTCATGATGCTTCTAGGAAAACTTCACTGAACATAAAACAAATTGCTCTGGCAGAGAAATAGTCCACATCTAGGTATATGTGTAATTCCACCAAGAAACCATTACTAAGGGCATTAAAGCTTGCACCATCAATAAATGTAAAAATGAGTCCCCCCCCACCCCTCAGTAAGAGAGCACTTGTCTAATATGTACAAGGCATGTATCTTAAACGCCACAAAACAAAACAAACAATATGTATCTGTCTGTCACATCTTCGTCTGATAAGCATGTTCTGAAGTTGAATGACAAAGGATGCTGAAAGGGTTTAAGCAGAGAAGTGGTAAATCAGGAATTTGCTTTTTACATCTTTATTTGGTTATTTATTTTGTGGAGGGGAGTGTGTGTGAATGAAGCGAGGTGGGGACCAGAAAGCAACTTGTGAGAGTTGGTTCTCTCCTTCTGCCATAAGAATTCTGAGGACCAAATTCAGGTCATCAGGCTTGGTAGCAGGTGACTTTCCTCACTGGCCCAAAGATCATTCTTCTTCTATATACTACAAACATCATGCTGAACACCACAAATATACACAATTTAGTGTATTAATTAAAATACAAATTTGGGGAAAACAATACTCACTGCACTTAGGAGAAATTAGAGATGATGAGAAAAAAGGAGGGAAATTTATCTGGATGCAAATACAGTGCAGAAAGTTATATTGGTTGGTTATACCAGTGAGGAGGAGACAGCTTCAGTAACTGATGTGAGGACGGGATGTGTGACAAGGAGAAGCCTTTGTGAACAGTGAGCTCAAGGTCCAGACTCAACAAAGAACGACTGGACAGCACAGACCAGGAATTCAGTCCGAGCACAAATGTGACGGGCCAACACTGAGCAAGTGGCTGCATCAAGGTTGAAGTCTTAACTCAGAAGAGAGGTGTGAATTAGAAGTTTATGTACCAAAGTCTTATCACACAGGTGAAAATGGAAACCAAAATCATTAGAATAAATTTGCCTGAGTGTTGTCTTTGTTTTTTTGTTCTTTACTCTTTTGGCTTTTGGGGGAGCCCACCAGCAGCTCCCAAGTATATCACACATAGGCTTATTCTTAGTTATGAGTGCCCGGCTTTAGCTTCTCTTATTTCTAGCCAGCTTTTCTTATCTTTAAATTAACTTGTCTACCTTTGCCCTCTGGGCCTTTATCTTTCTTGCTTCTGTATGTCTTACTTTCCTTCTTACTGTGGGGCTGGCAGGGTGGCTCCTGACGTCCTCCTCTCCTTGTTCTCTTCTTGGTCATTCCTTTTCTTCATTTATCCTTCTATTATTCTGTCTGCCAGCCCCACCCATCCTTGATCCTGCCTCACTATTGGCCATTCAGCTCTTTATTAGACCATCGGGTGTTTTAGACAGGTAAAGAATCAATCACAGCTTCACCAAGTTAAACAAATGCAGCATATACAAAAGTCACACACTTTAAAATAGTATTCTCCAACACTCGAGTATAGAGTGAATGTGAAAGCACATGGGACATCACAATCATCAACAATGATGTCCAGTAAGGAATAATGAGCCAGGAAGCCGAAGAAATAGACAAAGGAACACCAAAGCTCACAAAGCCAGTGTCCTCAGGAAGGAAATAAATTATGTAGTGAGGCATTTAAATTATACATGGCTTCATTTTAGATATGCTACTTATGTGTGTGGACTTGGGTCAAATATTCTTCAATGGTGAGATTAACAACATACAATATTTATTATATTGGTCAATGAGATAGGGGCTAAGAAAGTTGGGCATTAACGTGCTTACATGCATGCATGAGGACCAGTGTTAAAAATGCCCAGTGCAGTGACATGCAATTATAATCCCAATGCTGGGCAGACAAAGACGGGTAGATCCCTGAGCTCACCAGCCAGGCAGCTTAGCCTGATCAGTGGATTCCAGGCCCACAAGACCCTGTCCCAGAGAACAAGACAGATCCAAGGAATGATGCAGACCAACTTCTGGCTTCCACACGCTCACATCTCATACCAAGTGCAAACACACAAAAAGAACTAATGGCAGTGTTTGTGTGAGGTTTAGCAGTGTTTAACAGGAAACTGGTGGGAAGAACAGCCATTTCTTCCCACCACCAGGACTAACACCTTTTCAATGGTGTCCTGTCAAGAGTAATACTTACACCACACTCTAAGTTTGTGAGTATCTCCCTTATCAGGATATGGATGCATCTTGATAATATGAGCACCATATCATATGGTCTAATGCAGACTAACTACTCAATAAATGTGTGCAAGTGAGCCATTTTGCCTTCCTTTGTGCATGTACTACATTGTTTTGAAAGTATCAGAGAGTGTGCTTTTAGTCTCACCTCATATACCCTGTATCGAACGACGTCATTTGTTTTCATTACATTTTTCAAATCATCCAGCAAATTACTTTCAAATAAAGCTTCCAGTCCAGCTTGAGTTAGTGATATTCTTGACAAGGATTTAATAGCCTTATGCAGAAAGAAAATATTTCTTGTCAAAAAAAACACAGAATTTTTACACTTACTTCCTAAGCCTGATATGAAAATTAGTACATAAAATGCCCCAATCTAACAGGTATTCATTCACATTTTAGCTACTGCTATTCATTCATTCATTCTTCTTTTTGAGACAGGGTTTCTCTGTAGCTTTGGAGGCTGTCCTGGAACTAGCTCTAGACCAGGCTGGCCTTGAACTCACAGAGACCCACCTGCCTCTGCCTACCAAGTGCTGGGATTAAAGGCGTGCACCGCTGCCACCATCACCCAGCTGCTACTGTTATTTATAACTGGAAAACACTAAGCAAACAAATATAAGTCTGAGAGACATGTGTCTTAGGAGCTCACTGCTATGTATTTGACATCATTTACATACGGCTGTACATTCAATTCTACCTTAACTCTACAAATCATCCATGAAACTTTCTCTATTGACTTTAGGATACAATGCCTCTACCAAACTCACCGTTTTGGCAACAGATAAATTTTCTCCACCAATGCAATAAACAATTTGTTTTAATAGTTCAGTGTTATTCAGAATCTCAGTAACAGCTTCAGAGTTTTCAACAATTCTTCCAATCTGAAAGAACAAAACAACAAAACAAAACAGTAGAGAGATTCTTCCCAAGGAGAACACACAAATACAGGATATCTATATGTTTTCTAGTTTATAATTATTTTATTAGTTATTACAGCTATTACACAAATTCCTACAAATTCACAATGATCCAAATTCACTAACGCCAAAGGCAAATAGGGTATAGTCATACTTTTAAATGGAAAGGAACAGTAAAGAGTATGTAAAGAATGGAGACAGGTAAATGAAAACAATATAAATCCTAATATGTTAATTTTAGTTACACAAATCTTGGATAAATTACTTTCTTTGAGTTTAATTTTTTAAATTAAGCAACATCAAATAGGAGTACAATGTTTAATTCTTGGGCAGTAAGAAGATTAAAAGAAGATAGGGTAAGCATCTGCTAGTTTCTGGCTTCATAAGGGGAATGGGCAAATATCACCCCGACTGAATACCAATGTAGAGAAGGGGAAGGCTGAAGACTGTCTACTGGGTAACCAGCTGAAGTGCCTAATGTTCTGGCAGGACCCCAGCAGCACGTCACAGAAATGCTACGACAGGATCAGAGTTTCTATCTTAACGCTGGCTAATGAATGTCACACTTAGTTCATGCTTCTACAAAACAATATAATGTAGAAAGGGAACCTTTAAACACTTAAAAATCATTTTCTTCAGAGTAGGCACTCCTTAAAGAAAAACAACGGGTTTGTTTTGTTAACTCAAACAGCAATGGCATGATACCTGGCATGTTGGAGAACTTCAATGAAAAGTTGGCAGAGAACGACTGTGATGCTTCTTGCATTTACTCTAAAATTGCATACCTGGGACAGAGTGAGGGTTTTTACAGAATCATCTGGGTGAGTCAGTCCCCTCTGTAGGTCAACCCTGAGGTTCCTGGCCAAGTGAACTGGCTCTACAGCTTGGAGCAACCTCTCCAGAATGGATACACACAAAGCAGTCTGTTCCCTAAAGGAAACATCACAGAGCTTATTCACATCATGCCAGACTGGAAACAAGCACCTAATGCTTAAAACTTGGCTCTATAACAATTTCTTCCTGAAGATTTTCTCCAAAGTAGTAGTGTCTAGTCACACATTAGACATCTGGTATATATCCATTGTCTGATGACTGTGTTGGGGCCACGGAGACAGACAGGACACATTGTCTAGCTTCAGAGAGCTTATTCTAATAGAAGATACACATACAAAAAGATAGACAGATTACAGGTGAATGCTAGAAACTATAGGAGATTAAAAATAAGTTTGGAAGGTATGGATAAGGATTCCAGGGCCAGTAATGCTGAACTATGTTTTATGGGAGAAAAAAATGGGAATGAGTGATTTAGACAGGTGTTGCAAGCAGATGAAGTAGCAGCATACAAGGAAACAGAGAAATAAGCTACTGCATTAAAACTTCAGAGGAACCTCACAGAACATGTTATGACTGGGGTCAATATTGGAGGTGGGGGGAGAGAGATGGTGAACGGGTAAGATGGATGGTAAAGAAGTGAAACTAAACACCACAGATGCCAGATGCTGATAGTCTCTTATGCTCTTCTTGAACTAAATGCTGGCACTTTCCAGAGAAGCAATGCCAAGTGATGGAGTGGCTTTATGCAAAGAACTAACATAGTGACATTTAGCTTACAGTAATCTCTTGGGGGCTGGGGATGTAATTCAGTGGTACAAATCCTAGGTCCAGTCCCTAATGCCAGAAAGCAGGAAGAATAAACAAATGCACGAAGAAGGAAGATCAAGCCACCATGCAGTGTATCAGAGAGTACAGGAGGAGATGAAGCGAGCCAGTGAAGTGGCAGCCAAGATAGAGAAGGGGTACACAAGAAAACTACCAGAAAGGTAAACCAATCCCAATCTGTCGACTACCCACTGAAGGTATAGATCTTGTTCCAAGAACAATTTATTACAATTTATTTGTCTTTTAATAGGCAATATAAATAAGTGCGCTAACCTATATCTGATGTCAGTACAGAATTAAACTGGCCTAACTTTCCTATTTGTGACAAGAATAAAAAATCAAAAGCCTTAAAAAACAAACACAACTGGGCTAGAGTGATGGCTCAGTGAGTAAAGCACTTGCCAGGTCTTACAGTGAGGACCTGAGTTCAGATTCCCAGAACTCACACAAGCTGGCTGGCTCAGTGAAAAGAAAAAAAAAAAAAAAAAAAAAAAAAGACTTGCTACATAAAGCCCAATGACTTGCAGAAGCCATGGAAAAAGTTGGATAAAGTAGTATGCACCTGACAGGAAATCAGCAGGATGCTCATGGGCCAGCAGAGGCTCTCAACCTGGGGTGTTCAACCCCTTAGAAAACCATGTCATTGGAACACAGACATTTATATTACGATTCACAGCAATAGCAAAATTACAGTTATAAAGAAGCAACAAAAATAATTTTATGGCTGAAGTCACCACAGCATAAGGAACTATATTAAAGGGTCACAACATTAGGAAGGTTGAGATCCACTGGCCTGGAGTAGGATGGGCAGGGGCAGAAAAACACAGAAGGCATGTCTCAACAGTTGGAAGGTAAGAATGGAGCCCTTGAAGGTGCCCCCCCCACAACCTCTCTTGTGAAAAGCATTTTAAAAAGCAGTGATGGGTTAAACTGTATTGTGTATAAATTGCAGATCCTATGTGAACCTTAGCTGACACACAAGCTAGAGGTGGTAAGCTAGAATCATTCTTGTTTGACTTCTACGGTGTTTATCAGTAATCTTAGGTGTTAATTACTTCCCTCACAAAAAGAGTCCATCAACTGAATTAAAATTCCTATCAGCAGAGTCTCTTAGGTGTTCTAGCCAAGATAACAGCAGTGTAATGTGGAGATGGCCAGAAATTATCCAGAGGAGAGCCACTCCCACAAATTGCAACTGGCACTGTAGACATCCAGCTCTAAATTTCCAATAAAACCGCTTTCTAGGTGCCCACCCCATCATGTAGCAAGTCGTCTTTTCCACTTACTCTACTCCCAAACTTCCCAACTTGAGTGCCTGTAGCCAGCCCACATTATGACTTCTCAGTCTTTTCATTTTCAGTGTGAAAAGCTGGCTAGGAGTGGTGTGCACCGGGGGCCCAAGCTAAAGGCCATAAGGCTCATCTTGTATTGAGCATGACTGAGCATGTATTTTATGTACAGTGCTTCAGGAGATGCAGAGATGAAATATGGTTGCTGTCCTTAGAGATGTTTCAAACCACAAAGATGGACACGAACTATAACAAAGGAACTGAGTCCAGAATTGTGAACAGAGACGATAATATCCACTAAGCTGTCTGAGGAACAGTCACTTGCAGGGATGGCTTCCGCTGGGCCTTTGCAGAATAGACCAAGAGGGGGGCATTCTGCTAGAAGCACTGATAAGCATGACTTTAAGAAAGTGCAAGTCATGCCTGAAGAACACATGAGAGGTGAACAGACAAATTTAGTGGAGTAAGTGATAAGTATTAGACTGGAAAAGATAACTGGAAATATACCAGGAAGGGCCCAAATGCCAAACTACATAGTCATGATTTCACACTGAAGGCAAGGATAACCAAGCCAACTGACCCAAGACATTAAACTCTGGTTACAGGGTGAGGACTGCTCAGAGAAGGGAAATAACCATTAAAATAATGGCTGTTAAAACCAACTCAAATGTAGCAAAAGGAGAATGAGAGCTTATATTGAAGAGAGAGGATAAGAGGGGTAAAAAGCCTTCTGAAAGCATTCAGTGTTGATCAAAGAGTTCACAATCTTTTCAAATTAAACAGTCACTTTTCAATTCTGGCTCACATAAAAAAATCCACTAAATGATACAAGATGTTTTTAATTTAATATTACAGGTGCACGTTAAATCAAATGTTGCTATGCTAGCATTGTGACTCCAATTTCCATATTAATAGTTTCTACAGATAATCCTGGGTTATAATCAGTTTATTCTTGCCTGTAGGGAGTATATAACGGACTAAATTACACATATCGGGATCCTAAGCTTTGCAATTTCCTTTTCTAAATCCACATTTTCATATCCACATACACAATTCAAATTTTAAATAGCTGCGCAATGTGATGCAGCAGTAATTTATGTCCTTAATTTGATTGTTTCTACTTTTTTGCTGTCTCAGAAATCTGCTATGACTAACCCTCTAAATACAGTACACTGTAATACAAGTATACAAGCGTTCATACACTGGATGCTGAAATTAAAAGTCATGCATGCAGAAGATCCCCTTTAGAACAGGTGAACCGTCCAGACCTGGTCAACACACACTTGTGGAGTTTTTCCAATGGGACAACCTTCATTTTTCTCCGAAAAACCAGGGGAGCCGTGCCTACCCACCCGTCTCCCCAGCCGCGGGGTTCTCTCACCGATTGTTCTCGTTAAGCAAGGAGAAGAGCGGGCCAAGGCGTAGCTCCGCCGCCTGCTCGCGAAGCTCGTGAAGCGGCACAGCGTACACCACGGACTGCAGCGCACGCAGTTCCTCCAGCGGCGCCTCCAGCCGGGCCACCTCCCTCAGCAGTGTCACGGCCTGGCCCGCCATCTTCCAGGTTCATGTCCTTCCACCCACCTACCAGGTTTGGGAGCCCTTCTCCGAGTCTCGCGAGACCTGAGTGGGTGTAGCCTCCCACCAGTCTGTCAAGTCTCGCGAAGCGAGATTCTTGGGGATTTGCTGAGAGCGGTGCCCGCCCTTAGCCGCTTGGACCTCGGTGCTCTGCTTGGGCAGAGTTACGGTGAGGATGAGGATGCGGATGCGCTGGGAATCAGAGGCATTGCGCGTGTTCTCCTCAAAGGCCTCCGCGGCGGAACGGGGATGGGTGAACCCGAATCCGGCTATGGATGGTTAACCACAAAAGGTACGCGGTCCTACGTCAGGAAGACAGCCGAAACCAAAGTTCCTGAGAACTGGACGCTGGCCTAAATAACAACCTGGACGTGTGCCGCACCGTTTTAACGTCTGTCAGCCAACGGGAAGCTTAAGACACGTTTGGGTCTAGTGTACACAAAGTTTCCGGTCTCTTCAAGATTCTGTGTGTGATGGAATCATCCAAAGGATGGACACTACATTAGTGTTTGGAGTGGAGGAGCAGGCCATAAAGGGCTGGCCTCAGACTCTGAAGGCCATTTGAGAGTTTGTTACATTGTATGCAATACAATTAAATTATTGACTATTGTGTGTGTGTCTGTGGGAGTCTGTCATGATGGATGTGTAGAGGTCAGAAGACAACTTGCTCCCTTTCCGTGACTTGGGTTCTGGGATTGACTCAATTCATCAGATTTGCTGGCAAGCACCTTTACTTCATGAGCTATCTCTCTGGCCCAAAACTCCCCAGTTTAAGTGTGTATTTTGTTGAACACACAAACACACACACACACACACACACCTACCTACTACTGCTACCACCAGAATAATCTAGATATAAAACAGTTCCTTAGCCGGATGGTGGTGGCACACACCTTTAGTCACAGCACTCAGGAGGCAGAGGCAGGTGGATCTCTGTGAGTTCGAGACCAGCCTGGTCTACAGAGCAAGTTCCAGGACAGCTTCCAAAGTCACAGAGAAACCTGTTTCAAAAACAACAAAAGAATAAACAGTTCCTTGACTAGTTTATGCTGGTCTCTGTACAGCTAAGCTCTTTCCCTGTGCCTGGAGTTGTCAAATTAGGATACTTCACAGTAAAAAAGCACAACCCAGCTGGCGTTGGTGACTCATTCCTTTAATCCCAGCAGTCAGGAGGCAGGAGCAGGTGCATCTCTGTGAGTTCCAGGTCAGCCTGGTCTACTGAGCAAGTTCCAGAACAGCCTCTAAAGCTACAGAGAAACCATGTCTCAAAAAAAAAAAAAAAAAAAAAAAAAAAAAAAAGCACAGCTCATAGACAAGTATACTTACTGTCAAATTTGGTCCCTAGGACAAACCATGTGGTTGGTAGACAAGAGAGAACAAATTCCCACAAAGTTGTCTTCTGACTTCCATAGGTACAGTGTGGCACATGTGTGCCAGAGCTACACAGATACACTATGTAAGTAAATGAGCAAAATATAGTTACTTTTTTAAAAAGTTCAAAGAACAAAAAGAATATATATTTGTATTTGCCTGCACCTGTGTCTGTTGTTGTTGGAGGTCAGAAGAGGGTATTGGGTTCCCTGAAATTGGGTTTATGGATGGTTGTGACTGCCATGTGGGTTCTGAGAACTGAACCCATGTCCTCTAGAAGAGCAATAAGTTCTCTTGAGCACTAAGCCATTTCTCCAACCACAAAACAATTTTTTTTTAAATTTTTAAATTGGGCAGTCTATGGGGCCTGCTGGCATTGGAACCAGTATTTATCTTTAGTGCATAAACTGGCTTTTTAGAGCCAATTCCCTATGGAAGGATACTTTCTCAGCCTAGATACAGGAGGGAGGGCCTTGGTCCTGCCCCAAATAATGTGACAGACCTTGATGGTCCCACATGGGAGGCCTCACCCTCCCTGAGGAATGGATGGGGGTGGGATGGGGAGATGGTGGGGGAGTGGGAAGGCAGGAGGGAGAGGTAACTGGAATTGGTATGCAAAATAAGATTGTTTTTAATTTAAATTAAAAAAAAAATTTAAAAGTTGGAAGCCCTAGCAACCGAGGACTCTCTTCCTGAAGGACAACACTCAGTTGGTGGCTTACTGCTTTTCTCCAGTTTGGGCACCTCCCTTGCTTCTAAGTGTGTCTAGTCTTTGTTGATATGGGATGGTGCTGGGTTTAATTCTAGGAAAAGACAACTGGCCTGGGAAGGAGGGATCAGTTCGGTGGGGGGAGAGAAGTAGGGAAGTACAGGAAGGTAGGGAGGGAGGCAGGCAGGCAGGCAGACAGGGAGGAAGCCTGGTAGGGAGGGAGGGAGAGAGGGAAGGAGAGAAGGACAAGTGACAGAGAAGCAGCTCTTTGTGTGTGTCATTTGTTTGTTTTCATGGGTGGCTTTGTCTTGTTGACAGAAGGGTTTTATCTGTGTGTTGCAGCTTTATATGCTGTGGTTTCTGAAGGTTTTTGTTTTCTAAGAAAGGTTTGTCTTCTATCTGTATGTCTGATTATATTGTTTACTTGAAGAGAAAGTAAAAGTAGCATTATTTTTGCATGAGTAGAGCTCTGGAAAGTAAGCTCAAAGGAGAAATGAGACCAGTATGAAAAACAAAACAAAAAAACGTGCCAGGCTGCTGGCAGTTGGTCTCCTGGCCAGCCTAGCTGGGAGGGGCAGAGCTGGATGTTGTCCTGGAAAAAGGTGTGTGTGGGTGGAGGAGGGTGCAATTAAGGCCCTCTGTTTGGCCTACCAGCAGCACCCTACCTAAGGCTATATAGTCCACCTTTACTGCCTAGTGCTAAATCCCCAGCAACACCATGGACAGGCCAGAATCACGGTGCCCTCCAGCAGGCTCCCTCAGGCTATTTGTCCTTACCTGCCTCTTGGTGAGTGCCCCAGTCTAACACAGTCCTCTTTGCCTGAAGCTTCTATTTGGGGGCTGAGGGAGAAAAGATGAAGGAAAGGTATTTCTCTTCTCTGCTCTTGGGATTTTGAGCTGTGGGCAGCTTGTAGAAGAATTGAGATCCTTGGAAGTCCTTAATGTCCTAGAAACTGTCCAGTGTTTCATAGTTACCAGCACCCTTTCAGTCTGCCTTGTGGGGATAAGTGGGGCTGTGTTCAGTGAGGGTGCATTCTCTCCTAAGACCCTTTGATAGGGTTAACCTATTGCATTGTGTTTTCCTACCATTTTCTGCAGTCTGTTTTCATCTCCCAAATGCTTTAGAAAATTAATATTAGATGTGACAGCAGAATAGTTGTGAAAACTGCTGTAAATCTCTTTGAGGGTTTTTGTTTTATTTAAGCTCTGAATTTGTAACTAGGAAAACTTCTGTTGTGTTGATGTCACGGTATTTACAGATAACTTAAAACTAGATTGGTGAAAATTTAGTTCACTGGGTTGGGTGAGGCTTGTGAAGCCGACTACCCTCTTTAAGGAATAGATACTCCAGGACACTGAGAGAGAAGCCTGGCATGGTGGTTCATTCTGTCAGCCCAACACTCAGGAGGCTGAGGCAGTGGGATCCCTGCATTTTTGAGGCTTACCTGGTCTATATAATGACTTCAGGCCATCCAAGGCTATATAGCAAGCTCCTGTCTTAAAAAAAAGAAAGAAAAGAGGGAGGATGGCTGGATCAAATAGGAGATAACTTAAATACATAAAATATTTCATATAAGTATAAACTTAGAAATGGTGAATAGTAAAGATAGAAAAGATATAAAGCATTAAAACTTTATAATGTGAAGACATTTCTTTAAAACTAGTTTGTGGAGTTGCCATAGTCTGTAAGGAGCTTGCCACGAACCTCATTCTGATATGAAGAAGAACTAGGCACAGCAGCACACATCTGGGACCTCAGCATTAGAGATGTTGGGACAGATAGACCCTTGGAACTCATTGACCTGTCTCAAAAAAAAAAAAAAAAAAAAAAAAAAAAATGGACCCTAGACAAAGAACTATAGGCAACTAAGGAATTCTGAGAGCAGGAGAAGTAGCCTTTCCCAGGGCCATGCCCCTAACTGGTTATTCATTACCAAGTGGTCAGCTCTGAAATTGTCTTTCTTTCTGTCTGTCCATAACACTAGATAGATTGAACAGGTTGTATTTATATATTTATGTGCACACACACACACACACACACACACACACATGCAGTGATAACAAAAGGAGAGGAATGGGAGGGGTTGAAGGGAGGAAAAGAGAGAGGGAATGACATAATTATATTTTAACTTCAAAAGAATAATTTTTTAAAAAATGGGGAAAGCTATTGGGGAAGACACCCAACACTGGCCTTCACAAGCTCAGTGTATCTGCACATGTATGCATATGTACACACACAATACATAAATTATAGTCAGATCTTTTCCCATGAAAGTGAGTGTTTGGTATGACACTGACAGTGCTTTGAATTGTAGTAACTGTTTCTGTCAGAGAATGTGATCCTTTTCATGCACCAATTTTGCATTCATAGAAGTCATTTTCTAAACTTCCATCCATTATTGGGGCCACACTGACCTTTTGTAGTTATGATACTTTGTTAAAGTCTATTGGTAAGATTTTTTTCTTATGGGGGGGCCCACCACCCAGCTCCCAAATGAATCACACAGGGAGGCTTATTCTTAGTTATGAGTGCCCAGCCTTAGCTTGGCTTGTTGCTAGCCAGCTGTTCTTATCGTAAGTTATCCTGTCTACACCCCCCCCCCCCCGGCTTTTCCTGTTCTCTTGCATGTGTAAATCTTATTCTGTGGACTGCTGTGTAGCTGGATGGCTGGGTAGCTAGTCCCTGATGTTCTCCTCTCCTTGTTCTATCTTTACTCTGCCTTCCTTTTTCTCCTTCTGTTTATCCTCTCTGTCTGCCCTGCCTATCCTTGCTGCTGCCTGGCTATTGACCATTCAGCTCTTTATTAGGACCATCAGGTGTCTGAGACAGGCACAGTAACACACCTTCTCAGAATTATACAAATACAGTATAAACATAAGTCACACATCTTAAAATAATATTCCCCAACAAATGTCCAATTTGAAGACTTAACTGTCCAGTGGGGGAGGTGATAGCAACCACAGTATTCAGTGTGCTGGCAATTCTGATCCACCTCTTTGATGACAATAGCATCCCCTTCCCAGTCATGAGCCAAAATTGTCTCTAGACATTGCTAAGTTCCTTGGAGGACAAAAATCACCCTGGCTTGAGTTTGTATCCCCTGCTTCTGGTTACTTTGAGCTGAGGGCTGCCTTAGTAACACTGGATGCTCTCATGCCCTTAATATGTTGGCTGTGAGCTCATCTCATGCTTCCACAGCAGCTAGTGTGAGTTTGTATTTCAGCTTTGGGTCCCCACCACGCCTGCTGGCTCAAACATTTCAGTATTTCAGCTGAAGTCAGGCTGCCTTCTTCCCTTCCAGTAATATTTGTGGGTCAACCTCCCCTTGGGAAGTGTTCCTTTTGCTTACAGTTGTGCTCAAACCTCATGTCAGGGAGCTCAGGGGTCACAGTCAGTGCCCCAGCTACCATTGAGATGTCAATTAAAACAGCCAAATAGTGAAAAGCAGGAAAAAGAAAGATTGATCCACACTGGGAAGAGAGATGAGGAGACCCAGTGGTCCCACCAGGTCCATCCTCATTGAGAAGCAAGATGTAAAGAGCCAGGCATTTGCACATGGAGGCTGTCCAGGTCAAGCTGACTCACCCACCACTGGCCCATCATTGTCTGGGGTCTGGTCTCCAACAAGGTGGTCCAGCAAACTGTCAGCTATATGTGAAATCTATTTCTGGGAGGGAAGTTCCCTCTTTGGTCAGTGTCAAATACAACCTTTTTCTTCTCATAGCATGAGCACCCAGGGGGGAAGAATTCTAGTTTCTTGGGCCCATTGTTCCAACAGTCGGATGGTCAGATTGAGGGACACATATGTTGTAGCAAGGCCAGTAATGCTTACAGTGGGTGGCCCCCAAGCCCTATTTCTTCAAGTTAGCTCCTCTTGACACTGCCATCTGGCTTGCATACTGATAGTGCATTTTACTAATCTGCAAGTATTTATTGAGAGCCAGTGTCAAGAGCTAACCTGGGGCTATGGTCATGAGGCACAGCTCTTCCTTCATTACATTAGCAATCCCAGGTTGTGCTTCTCTTCTCATCAAAACCCCTGGCACCTGAGTCAGGCAGCGTTTTGGGGAGGGGAAGAGCCCATCTCCAGCTCCCTAGTGAGACTGGTAAAAGGGGAGGAAGTACCTTCCTTCGCAGAAGTGACACGATCGATCCAAATCCCTCCCTCTAGTGCCTTAATTTTTTCCCCTATAAACCAAATGAATTTTCATTTAGGAAGCAATGGTAAAAAAAAAAAAAAAAAAAAAAAAAGCTTGGTTTGTTTTTGGTTCATAGTGTCTGGGTCAATTCCAAAGGGCGCTGTGTTGGAGTGGAGGCACCAGTGGATGCTGTAGGGGTAAGAAGAATTCACCCAGAACATTAAAATCTAACTCAGCACATTCAAAACATTACCTAGTGGGCTGGACAGCCAGTTTGGTTGTTAACAGCACTGGTTGCTCTTGCAGAGGACCTGGGTTTGGTTCCCAGAACCCACAGGGTAGTTCACAACTCTCTGTAACTCCAGTTCCAGGGGATCTTCTGGTCTTTGCAGGCACCACACATGCACATGGTAGCTAGACACATGCAGGCAAAACACCCATACATATGAAAAAAAATTAAAAGGTAAAACAACAGCAAAACATTATCAGAGGCTGTCAAGACCGACAGTCAGAAACCACGTGATAATATAAAATGGAGGGAGGGCAGAGGTTTACTAGAAGAAAGCCTGAGTCTGGGCTAGGAGACAAGAGGGGCAGCCATTGCTCAAGCTGGGTGGTTGCAGCCTGACTCTTAGGGTGCACTGTCCTTTTAACGATTTTCCAATGATGCTGGAGTGGAAGGTACTTCAGCTTTTTTCCTCTTAAGTGCCTTTCATTAAGATAATAAGAAAATGATAACTCAGATGTTTTCTCTACGGTGGCTGCATGTTACTCAGGATCTTGATGTCTTTTCTGAGCTGGAGAAATGACTTCCTAAATAGGCTGCTTCCTGGCTGGTCTCCACTCCTTACCTGCTCATTCTTTTGTTACTGCTCTACTTAAAATCTCCAAAGTACCTGCTACCTGAATCCAGACCCACACTCCCTAGCTTGACCCCCTTTCTTTGTTTCCAGCCAGCTTTATTGCCTTCCAACCTTCCCCCCCACACACACACAGGAAGATCCATGGAAACAGGGTACTCTATACGCCTTGAGCTGCTTTAGTGCCTTAGTGGCCCCCATCAATAATCTGACTTTACTGTCATTGTTTGAATGTTTGCCATAGGCTCATGTGTTCGGATACTTGATAACCCAGCTAGCAGTGTGGTCTGAAGGGACAGAGACTCTCTGGAGAAAGTAGGTCATTGGAGGTGGGCCTTGATGCTTATAATTTGACCTCTCTACTTCCATACATTGCCCTCCACCATGATGGGCCACTATTTTGTTCTAGAATGTTCTGATTTTTAAGGCTGTGTATGTGTGTGTGGCTTGTGCAGCTGCACACACATCTGTGCAAATTTGTGTTGAGTGTTTCTCACTGTTGTTCTCCATTTGTTTGAGGTAGGGTCTCTCACTGAAGCTGGAGCTCATTGACTGGCTAGGCTGAGTCTCTTGTGTGCCTCATAGCACTGAGATTACAAGCATGTGCCAGCATGCCTAGAGTTTTGCTTGGGTGCTGGGGATCCAAACTCAAGTCTTCATGCCATCTCTTTAGCCTGACTGGATTCCCTTAAACCAAGCCCAAATAAATTTTGCAGTCTTGTAATTTGCTTCTTGTCAGGTATCTGGTCAAAATAATGTCAAGAATAACGAATATAAAAATTGATGCTGAAAAGTAGGGCTGTTGGTGTCATGTCCCTGGAATTGGTTTGTGGGAGGAACCTGAAACGGTTTGGCGCTGTGGGCTAGGGAACCCCTAGACTGCTGTAAATGGAGCCTGTGGATCTGTGGTGACAGTTCAGAGGTCAGGGTGACTGTATAAGTGTGGGTCGTGATGACTGCGCTTCTGAGGTTTCAGAGTAGGACAAGGAGTCTGCTGGGATGAGCAAAGGAGCTCACTTAACCTGAAGGGTGTTTTTCAATATATTTTTATTAATTTATTTTTTATATTCCAATCCCAGTTCCCCCTCCCTCTTCTCCTCTCTTCCCACTCCCCCCCATCTGCTCCTGAGAGAGGGTAAGGCTTCCCCTAGGAAGTCTACTAAGTGCATCCCATCATCCTATTGAGGCAGGATCAATGCACCTCCCCACCCCAGGGTAGGGCGGGCATAGAGAAAGCAGCTGTTCTTGTTAAATAGATTGCCTTTAGAGAAACCCGGATTTAGCTGCTGGGGCATTAGGAAAGGTGCCTTAAGGGCAAATCCTTGCCCGTGGAAAGCTCCATTGCAAGTTCATTTGAAATGAGAGTGCTGGAACAGAGTGCCCTGCTGGAACACACTGCCCAGGGTAGTAGTTTTTCAGGTTTAACCTTAGAGGCACACAGAGAACACTGCATCTGTGGTCTAAGTGGGACAGGCTATATCTGAGCTGGCAGTGGAACCTGGCTTTCCTTACAAGATGCTGGTATTACAGGCTCCACAAAGTTCCAAGGCCAGGAAATACGTTATGGGGCAGATTGCATGGATGTGGCTCCTGAGTGGGCTGACTCTGAAGCTGTGAAGGTGACATCTCAGTTGCAGTGGCTAATACAAGACATTGGGGATGCCAGAAACATGGCACTGGTAGAGCTGACCCAGGACAGGACACACACAGAGGACATGTGACAGAGCTGGAGGGGCGGGGCTAACCACGCCAGCAGCAGTACTGAACTTTTTCCTGCGGGACCTGGGTCTGCACTGCTGGATTTTGGTCATACTTTGGCTAAGCATCTATTCCTAACTTTGGTAATGAGAATGTTCACATTAGGATCTTATATGCACTTTTGAATTATAGGGGCTCCTGACTTTGAACTTCTGCAGCACTGTAAGACTATGAGGACTTTTTGAGATAGATTGAATATATTAGCATTGTGAGATGGTCATGGACCCTTTGGGGCAGATATAGAATATCCTTGGTTCGATATGAAATGTTGGCTCATGTGTTTGAACACGTTTCCTAGCTGATGGTGTGGCTTTGGGCACTGTGAAACTTTCAGGTAGAGGCTGTTAATTGGAGGAAATTGGCGGGAATCCTCTGTCTGGTCTTTGCTTCTTGGCAGGCAAGATAAACACCTCAGGCCACAGCCCTGCCTCTTGCCTTGCTTCCCCAGCCACATACACACCACATGTAAGCCAAGTTGCTTCTCATCATCACAATGAGAAGAGTAACCAATACAGAGAGCATCTCAGCAAAGCCTGCTCATGCTCTGCCACCAAGGAGAACTGCTTCTCTGTCCTTGTAATGATTAGTCCTAGCACTGTGTGTCGCATAATTTTAAAACTGTATGTTTGCATTAAACTATGCACAACACCTGGTACAAATAAATGAATGCAAGTGAAATTATTGGAGAGATAAGTGCTTACCATTAATAATAACCTTCATAGAAGTTTAGCTCTTAAGTGAGTGACAGCTACAATTACCTGCAGTAACAATTCTGTGCAATAAAAATGCACATGAGCTCATCCAGACTTGAGTCCAAATTCTGGCTTCAACATATAAAGCTATGGTTTTGAGAAAGTTTTTTTTTTTTTTTTTTTTTTTTTTTTTTTTGGCCTTACTCATTTGTAATTCTCTATTTTTTTCCTTAGCTACAAAATGCAGAGGAAAAACATCTAGGCTTGAGACTTTGTGTATGTGTGGGTAAACTAATATGTATGGGTGCCAGAGGTTGACCTTGGTGTATCATTCTTCATTTATCTTGTTATTTATTTAATGTATATGGGTGTTTTGCTTGTACCATGTATGTGCTTTGCCCTAGGAAGCCAGATCCCCTGGAACTAGGGTTGTGAGCCACCATGTGGGTGTTGGGGATTGAACCCAAGTCCTCTGAAAGAGTATTCAGTGCTTTGAACCTTGCTTCTTTTTGGAGGTAGTTGTTGGGTAGGGTCTGTCACTGGCATAGAACTTGCTGAGTAGGAGCCACGGGTGTGTGTGCTGGCTGTCCTGTGAGCCCCAGGGATCTGCCAGTCTCTACATCTTCAGTGCTCAGATTATAGGCATGGACCACCAAATCTAGGGTTTTTCTATGGCTTGTGGGAATCTAACATAGGTCCTCAAGCCCACTTGACAAGCACTTTACCAACTGAGCTAGCTTCCCAGATCCTGGGCATGAATACTCTAAGTAGTAAAGTAAAATGCATGTCTCTGAAGTTAGTTTGTAGATGGGGATGACAGAGTGATTTTAGTCTGATGGAGCCAGGAGTCACTGACCTGTGTTTGTCTTTTCTGCCATACAGGTCCTGACAGCTGTTCTGACATATCCTATGCTCAGGACCGTTAGCCTGTGGTTCCACCCCTCCCTCACCAGGAGCTATGTCTCTGGCACTTACTCCATCGTTTTTGTTAACTGTCCCAATGAGCAAATTGCCAGAGATGTTGCCAGGTATAGAGCAGGGGCTAGGTGATGCCCCTAAATGCATGGGAATCCACCAGGGTGCTCTCTGGGGGGGGGTCACATGGCAGTCCTGCTGTTACTTTTGGCAACCCTTTCTGTCCAGGGATGATACTTTCTGCTTGGGGTGGGATGAGGAACCCATTGGATGATCCTGCTCAGAGTGATCCTGGGCTGATCGTACTGCTATACTAGAGGCTGTTAAGTAAATTGATGGGGCAGAGAAGGAATATGAGGTCCACAGGGATAGGTGGATTGTTTAAGGCCTTAAGAGAACTGTGAAAACCTATATGGGGCGATTTAAACCCCCAATTGCTAGTCTAACTTCTTTTCTCATCCCCTTAGCTCAGTTCCCGAGGTGCTTGTGATAAGAAAGAAGAGGCTGCCCCATGTATGGGGTATTTTTCTAGAAATGACTGTGGTGAGCTAGAAAGAGCACAGGGTTTGTAATTACATCATAGTTTTACTATTGACTGTGCTACTTTTATTTATGTGACTTTGGGCAAGTGTTTTTTACTTTTAGGGGGCCTGCCACCTAGCTCCCAAATGAATACACACAGAGACTTATTATTACTTATAAATGCCTGGCCTTAGCTTGCTTTATTTCTAGCCAGCTTTTCTTAGTTTAAATTATCCTGTCTATCTTTTGCCTCTGGGCCTTTACCTTTTCCTATTTCTGTATATCTTTTCTTTCCTTCTTATTCCGTGTGTGTCTATGTAACTGGGTATCTGGCCACTTTTTTTCTCGCCCCTTGATCCTTCTTTTTCTCTTTGTATTTATTATTCTCTCTGCCAGCCCCACCTATCCTTTCTCCTGCCTTGCTATTGGCTGTTCGGTTTTAGACAGGCAAGTATCACAGCTTCACAGAGTTAACCAAATGCAACATAAAAAATGCAGTACACATTTGCATCATTAAACAAATGCTTCACAGCATAAACAAATGCAACACATCTTAAAATATCATTCTACAGCTGGAGAGATGGCTCATTGGTTAGGAGCACTGGCTGCTCTTCCAGAGCTTCCTGAGTTCAATTCCCAGCAACCACATGGTGGCTCACAACAGTCTGTAATGAGATCTGGTGCCCTCTTCTGTCCTGCAGGCATAACACTATAAGCATAATAAATAAGTCTTAAAAAAAACCCCACAATATTAAATATTGGTAACCATATATGTCATCTGTGACCTATGTATGTCTGCTCTGCTCTGCTTCTTGAGGTTTCCTAGGGCCTGAGCTTCTTGGGTGGGTGGGGGGGACTCAGTGGTCTGTAGTGTTTGCATACCTTCTCTGAGGTAGTTGGAGTCCAGCCAGCCTACATACCACCCTTCTCTCTCTTTCTCTCTCTCTCCCTCCCTCCCTTCCTTCTTTCCTTCCTTTCTCTCTTTTTCTTCCTTTTTAAGGCAGTCGGGATGTTTTACATTACAAAAACCTCTACAGTTGTGCAGTCTGTTACTTAAGTACAGATTGTTGTGGTCAGTGGCAGAGAAGCTCACAGTCCAAAGAGATTGTGAAGGGCAAGCAGCAATTCCTTTTTGAATATGGGTAGTTCTCTCTTGTGTTTAAAGTATACCATGCTGAGAACCAAAAATGAATATTCCCAGTGGGTGGGTGAGTGAGTAAGACTTGATGAGGTTGCTTGAACAGCTAATTTTTCAAAGCAGAAGTGGTAGATGGGGATGACTATCACATTAATATACAACTTTAAGTAGAATACACTTAGCTTTGAGGACCATGGAAAGAGCAAGGAGAGCAGCCCCCTCCTTGGAACAGTGGAGTAGGGCTCTGATAAGGTTTTTGTCTTGGGTTTGCACTTGAGGTTGTGTTAAGAAACCTGTAAAATTAACAACAACAACAAAAGGCTGGAGATGGCTAAGCAATTAAGAACACTGACTGCTCTTCCAGAGATCCTGAGTTCAATTCCCAGCAACCACATAGTGGCTCTGTTTTTTTTTTTCTTTTTCTTTCTCAAGTCAGAATTTCTCTGTGTAGCTTTGTAGACCAGGCTAGCCTCAGATTCACAGAGATTCACCTGCCTCTGCCTCCTGAGTGTTAGCATTAAAGGCGTGCACCACCACTGCCCGGCAACCATCTATAATGGAACCTGATGCCCTGTCTTGTCTGATGTCCTCTTCTATCATGCAGGCACACATGCAAATAGAGCATTCAAATGCATAAATAAAGAAATTTAAAAAAAAAAAAAAAAAAAAAAAAAAAAAAAAAAAAAAAAAGAAAAGAAAAGAAAAGAAAAGAAAAAAGATCCAGAACAAAACAACTGGGAAAAGTCTTTCTGCTTACTCAAACAAATACTGGATGGTTAGCTTCTGCTTGGAGCTGTGTGAGCTCTTTGTGGTCACATGAGGATCTAGAAATCAGCCAGGTATTCTGCAGAGTGGGAGTGGCATTATGAAAGGAGCTCTTGGGAGTGAAGAAGGTTAGACACCACTGACTAAACCAGTCTTCATCTAGTCAGGTAAAGAGGAGAGCTGCTTATCACAGAGCAGGTACACATTTCAGACAGGAAAGACAGGCAGAGTCCAGGTCTGTCCTCTGTAGGCCCAGTGCCAATCACCCCATCCCCCACCACATTGAGCTTGCCCTTAAAGTGGCCTCCCCACAGCTGCTTCTCTGTGTCCTCAGGTGCTGTATGTGTGATTACAGGACATGCTGGTTTGAAGGTGAATGTAAAAAAAGGTGATCCCTACCCTTCTGTTGCTGTAACTAAAAGTCACAGAGTAGGTAATTTATTTATAAATAAAGATTTATTTCACCTTATGGTTGTAGGTGAGTTAGAGGCCTGCATCTTGCTGGGTTCTTTCTGCAGCCTGACATGACTACTAAAACAGGGGGCTGGGTGAGGGTCTGGTACCTTCAAACTAAGTTTACAAGTAAGAATTCTCAGGGCATATGTAAAGCACAGCATGAGAGGGACACCCTAAATGGTTGTTTACTTAGACTCAGATATTCATAGAAATTCCCACCCCTTCTCTTAAAACCTTGGATTTGCTGCAGTAATCACCCCCCTCTCTTTGCTCTAGGGCCATACTGGACAAGAAGTTGGCTGCCTCTGTGAACATCTTGCCTAAGACATCTTCACTGTGAGTTTTGCCAAGGCTAGAGGAGGGGAATGGGAGTGTTAAGATTAGGTCCTGGATGATAGAGAGCATGGAACAAACGGTGAGCTGTCGGAGAATGTTTCCATGGCATTTGATCAGCACTTCACAGTTGACCTGCATTCAGAGTTTATGTTTATTGTCAATTTATATCATCCAAGGAAAGCAAAAAAGAAAACAAAGTCACGTATAGAGAAAGGAGGGAAGGCTCAACTGCTCACATCGTTTTGAGCATGGCTCCTTATCTTTGCTTTGGCTTTACTTTTGATCTCTGATCCTTAGCCTAGGTCTGTTGAATTAGTCTGTCTGAGTCTGAGGCCTAAGTTTCTGACTCTTTAAAATGTTTTCTAGAATGTAGCTCAGTGGTAGAGGGCTTGCTTGTCTGTCATACATATGGTCTTGGGTTTGCTCTCCAGCATAACAAAAAAGGAAGAGGTGAGAAGGGATGGAAGGAGGACTAATAGAAGAAAAAAGGGAAGGAAAAAGGAAGAATGGAAGCAAGGAGAACTCATATGTAATCTTAAGTTAGGAAAAGATAACTTTCAGGAATGCCCTGGTAGGTGCCAAACTGACCTATGGGGTCTTGGCAAATTCTAGACTTTTTAAAATGGGTATCTTATGGTTTCTATTACTGCCATGAAACAGTATGACCAAAAAGCAAATTGGGGAGGAAAGGATTGACTTACACTTCCATATCACTGTCAAATGAAGTCAGGGCAGGAACTCAAGACAGGGCAGGAATCTGGAGGCAGGAGCTGATGAAGAGGACATGGAGGATGCTATACAACTTCTTATAGAATTCAGGACCCCATCCCAGGGATGGCACCCATAATTGGCTGGGCCTTCTCACATCAATCACTAAGAAAATGCTCTACAGGCTTGCCTGCCCCCAGTCCTGTGGAGGCATTTTCCAAGTTGAACCTCTCTCCTCTCTGATCTCTCTAGCTTGTGCCAGCAAAATAGGTTTGGGGAAGATTGTAGCATCTTTTCTTCAATAATTTACCTGCTCTAGCAGGTTTGACATTTTGGCAGGCTCCTATTGTGACTGTTACAATTTGATTTTGTTCTCTAGGTACTTTTGGGAAGGAAAAATAGAAGAATCTACTGAGATCTTGTTGGTAAGTAAGGATGGGGCAGAGATTGTTCTATCAGGACAATGAGTGACATCAGGGCCATTTTCCAAATTCTAATTAGAAATTAGCAACGAGGTTGGGGTATAGCTCAGTGGCTACTTCTTACATGTAGCAGTCCTTAAGTTCAATCCCCATAGATAAAAAACAACATAAACCAACTGACTGAGGTTTTTGCCCCACCTAAGATGTCAGGCTCATTAGCAATCTAGTGTCCTGGTCTGGTGACCTGTGAGGAATGCTAAATGGCCAAATAAATGGAGGGTTGAGCTGGGATTCAGGTCCCAAATTGTTGATTAATTTTCTTCTTGTCACAGCTAATCAAGACAAAGACTTCCAAGGTCTCCAGGCTGTCCACCTATATGAGGTAAGGCCACAGGACCAGGCCAGGATGTTCTGGGCACTGAGAGAATGAAGCTGGGAAGTGGGAGGGCTGGGGTTTAGCTTATGCTGCCCATAAGTCTCCTTGTCTTTGTCTTTGTCTCAAGTTCTCCATCTGGACAATGGCTAGTAGAATGAGATAGTTTACACTTGTGGTTTCAAAATCTTGGTCTCAGGGCCTTTTCATACTTTAAAGATGATTATTCAGACTCACAAAAGCATCATGGGTTAATTTCTAGCTTGTCCCAGTAATGCAGTCCTAAAGCTCACACTTTGAGTTCTGGTGATTGATGTCAGTGGTTCACAGAGTGAGGTTTCTTTACCTCCAAGGTCTCCAAGACTTTGCTCAAATCCATGAGAGTTAACCTTTTAATCTTAAGTGCTAAGGAATTTGAAAACCGTTTTTTGCCTTACCCAACAATAAAACCATTTATATATTAATAACACAAATACCCTATTTTTATGAAAAGTAGTCATATTTTTCCAAAACAAGAAGTTAATGAGAAAATGGCATCATTCACATTTTGCAAATTGTGACTTCATAAGATAGCTGCTAGGGACAGTTTTAAGTTTACAGTGGCAAATTCAGACAAAATTTAGAATTTTTTTTGCAAACGATTCTCTCAATGGTGATAAGGAAGTTGTCCCTTTATACCTCCAGTATTAGAGATGGGATTTTGTGTCACTTTAGACATACTGAATGGAACTCCATTCCAAGAATCATACCTAGAGATTTTTGTCCACATTGCCACTTGAAGCATTGTTCAACCAATGGCCTCAGTGCTGGCCATGTGTTACATTGTGTGAAGATATTTTTCATTTCTCCAACATAAGCACTACCTCATAGATTTTAGCTTCGTTTGTCTGCCATGGGGATCAAATGCATCATTGTTATTATTTTATTCTTTCTCATACATTATAACCCAACCAATTTCCCCTCCTTCCACTCCTCTTAACCCCTCTCCCCACCTCTCCTCTCCCCCAGATCCACTCCTCCTCTGGTTCCTTAAAAAAAAAAAAAAAAAGCAGGCCTTCCAGGGACATCAACCAAACATGGCATAACAAGTTACAAGAATACTAGGCACAAACCCTCCTCATATCAAGGCTGGATGAGGCACCCAGTAGGAGGAAAAAGGGTCCCAAATACAGGCAAAAGAATCAGAGAGACACCCCTCCCCACAACTCTCCCACTGTTAGGACTTTCACAGAAACACCAAGCTACACAACCAACCATAATGTATTATGCAGAGGACCTAGCTCAGGCCCATACAGGGTCGGTGACTGTCCCCTTCAGGCTCTGTGAGCCTGGTTTAGTTAATTCTTTGGGTTTTCTTGCGGTGTCCTTGATCCCTTGGCTCTTACAATCCTTCCTTCCCCTCTTCTGTGGGGTTCCCCTGAGCTCCAGCTAATAATGTTTGTCTGTGGTCTCTGTATGTACTCCCATTAGTTGCTGCATGAAACCTCTCTGATAACGACTTGGCTAGGCACATTAGCAGAATGTCATTAGGAATCATTTTATTGACTTTTTTTTTTTTTGCCAGTCATGTTTGGTTCTATCTTGGGTCTCTGGGCTGTCCTGGCTCTGTGTTCTGGCCGTCTGGTGTGGGCTTCCTCTCAAGTTGGACTAGTCATGGATTGGCAACTCCCACAAGTTCTATACGACCATTACTCCAGTACATCTTGCAGGCAGGGCAGATTGTAGGTCAAGTACACCATTCTTAAGTAGCATCCCAGGTTGACTGTAGTGTGTAGCCTGCGCTATACTCCCTTGCTCTGCATGATAAAATCATTTCCTTCACATCTTAGGGAAACTAGGATTTCATGGTCATAGAGATGTAGCTGAGTTTAAATTCTAACTATAAAGAAGGCCCTTTTATTAGCACATTAGCAGAGGTAAGGGAATGGGGCATCTTGGTTGAATCGAAATTGAAAACTGTGAGGGACAGCTTCTGGGTTAGGAGAGAACTCCAGAGCTGTATTTCTTATGTTGAAGTCTGGCTTCCTACTCAATAGTTGTACCATAGTGCATCTATAAAATGGGTATCAATCTACCAGGTTCTTATACATATGAGAATATATGAAGTATACCTATGGAATATTTCAACAGTTCATCTTATTGCTAACATATCTGATTCTTTTAATTAAATATGTCTGTTTATAAAAGATTCTGGCCTTGGTGTCCATGAAATGAGCTCATCAAACTAATAATCTTCAGGTTTTGAATCAACCAACCCTACTTGCTATAAATGCTACAGTGTTTATCTATCACTATGATTAGTTAACTGTGTTATCTCATGAGAATTTCCCAATGGCTCTATGTTGATCAGAAAGTAAGCAAAGAATTACCGTGCGCATTGACACATGAGAGAATGACATGAAGACAACTGGCTTTTGCACTGTGTGCCAGGTGAATTAAGCAAAGAGGCAGGTGACTTGCAAAAAGGGCCTCATGGGGGAAGGTCAGGGATTGTTTGGCCTTGAGGCTCAAGAAAGGGGATTTTGGTTGATCAGCAGGAGTGGTGAGGACTTTACAGGTAGGAAGGAATATATAGACTCTGGAGAAGGGGTAGGAAGACAGAACAATGTGTATGGATAGAGGTGCAAAGAGTAGTGAACATGAGTGTATACAATGCTGGCCACTAGCTAAGTGTCCTAGCTAGTCCTCAGCAACCCAGCCAAAAAGGTGTTTTTATCTCCTTCTGTAGGGGCATTCAGAGAAATTAAATGACTTGTCTATAGCCACAGAACCAATAAGAACAGACATAGAATATGAACTCATACCTCTAAGAATCTAAAACAGCAGTTCTTAACCTAGGGCTTGAAATTCATAACAGTAGCGACATTACAGTTATGAAGTAGCAATGACGTGGTTTTATGGTTGGGGTCAGCACCACATGAGGAGCTGTACTAAAGGGCTGCAGTGTTAGGAACGTTGAGAAGCACTGCTCTAAAGGTACTGATCCAAACCTCCTGTTGAATGGGAAACAGTCTCAGGCAGGCTGGGCCACAACAGTGAACTGCAGCAGCTTATAACAGCCTCCAGAGAGCCTGCAGGTGGGTTTTGTCATGTAGGTTGACCCTGTCACAGTCACTCATTAGAGCTCTGCTTTCTTTCCAAAGGTTGGCTCATCCTTTTGAAATCCCAGAGGTCTTCAGTATTCCCATGGACCAAGGAGATGCTCGCTATTTAAAATGGCTTGAGGAGGGCATGAAGGAGAACTAAGCAGAGAAACTGCAGGCTGCTGACTTGGCTATAAGCCTTTCCTGACTGCTCTGGGAAAAGCAGGCCTCCTTCTGCCTCCCTGGGGTTCCTAACAACACAGAAGTGACCTGTGTATGCTGGATGAAGGGCTGTGAATTTCAAGGCCAGAAGTGAAGGCCAGCCTGACCAGCAAGGACCAATTGGAGCCTGTCTCTGAGTGCTGTGTGTTTGCAGGTGGCCAGAGTGAGGATGCAGGGACAGAGGGGAGTGGCAGTGAGGGCACTGGACCTACCATAAGTACTTGGGTGTAATTGCTCCTCTGTTTCTATGGGGACAAAGGGCCTTGCTCACCTGGGTGTGTGTGGGATAAACATCATCTAAAGAAACCGACATGTGCCCTGTTCACAACCATGGATCGTGGCGGTAGAGTTTCAGGGATCTAACTTTTTGTTAGAGAGGCTTTTGTTGCTCCTGAACTTAGGTGAGGCTGGGAAGGGGTTTCTTGAGCCTATTCAGACTAGGGGAATATTAGGGTTTCAACATAGCCTCATGGATTGAGAGTAAGTTTTGACTCTTTATTAGATTTAATATAACAGGCATGCAAAGACCCTGGAGACATAGGTTCTTAGCCCTGGGAATGAACCTGCTGGGCAGGGTTCTTTACATTTGTTGTATAGAGCTTCTAGGGCTGACAGAGGAACCTGAACTTTTGAGGAGTGCAGCCCCCATCCACATCCCAAGTGAAACTGCCAGGAGCTTGTAAATCATTGTTGTGATTTTGCCCATTTTATACATCATCAAGAAAAACTGCATTTTATGGAATTCCATACAAGGAGGCATGCTAAATTACACAGCCTAGCCATGGTTTCTCATCCCATGCTGAGGGCTCTTCTACACCTGTCCCCGGGTCTCTGGTGAAGAGAACAGGGAGTCTGGGGGATGCTGAACACAAGGCTGTGGAAAGGGAGACTTAAACCAGGCTTTTTCCATGAATCTCACATGGTAAGTCCATGGTGGTGGTGGTGGTCCCCACAGGGAGGTAGAATTAGGATCCAGACATCTGTGGTGTCCTGGTCTCTTGTCCTGGGGGCTTGTTACATATGCCACATAGCTGCTATGTGTCTCCCACTTTGTGTCCCAAATTCCAGATGGTGAAAGGTCTCTGAGGGCTATTTGTGAGAGCTTCATCAGGACTGAGGCCCTTCCAAAGGGCCAAAGAAGTCCACTGGTAGTTTTGAGGGCTGAGGAATGGAGATGTCATTGGTCTTAAACCCCAGTTTCTGAGGTATATACAAGTTTTGAAAATCCTACTTAAGATGTACCCAGGACCCCAGATGCACCATCAGTGCCACTTTAGTTTCTATGGCTTCCTTCTAGAACCTGTGGTAGATGGGTGGCTTCACTGTGCACAGTCCCTGTAGTCATGTCGTCCCCTCTGCCCGGTGTAACTCGTTTGAAAGGCCTCACTTCCGGGGTGGACCACCAGCTGCTGGAGGTTGGAGGCCTTTTTAAATCTTGTCGGTCTCTTGCACAAGGTTTGGGAATTATTTCTCAAGTTGACATTTCAGTTTCAAGGGTTTAAAAAAAACAAAGGTTTTTCTACAACATAGAGTTTACTGTTAAGTTTTGACATAGGCAAAGTATGTATTTTTCTCTTGACTTTTCTTAAACTTAAAAGGTTTTACACTTGTGACCTTCATTGGTTCATTTTCAGTGCTATGTATGCCATCAAAAAACCCTTTTTTGGTGACCTGTCTGCCACAGTGTGCAGGAAACAGGAGAGAGGCCTGCTTGCTGAACTGTTTAGGAAGCTCTCCAGCTTATCCTTTTAAGTTAGGCTTATTTGCTAGCATTTTGCTGACAAAACCTGAGGTCAGAGGGCATAAGCCACTTAAGAGGAAAGTAAGCTGTGGACCAGAATCTGACTGTTTCCCATTCAACAGGAGGTTTGGATCAGTACCTTTAGAGCAGTGCTTCTCAACGTTCCTAACACTGCAGCCCTTTAGTACAGCTCCTCATGTGGTGCTGACCCCAACCATAAAACCACGTCATTGCTACTTCATAACTGTAATGTCGCTACTGTTATGAATTTCAAGCCCTAGGTTAAGAACTGCTGTTTTAGATTCTTAGAGGTATGAGTTCATATTCTATGTCTGTTCTTATTGGTTCTGTGGCTATAGACAAGTCATTTAATTTCTCTGAATGCTAGTGTTTGCTATTACTCAGTCGAGGGAGAATAGAGAAGTCCCTGTTATCGAAGGGCAATAAGGGTGGGGACAGTGTTGAGAGAACAGCAGTTGCTGGGTGGCCAGAGGGATGGCAAACTCCAGGAAGCAAAGAGTGGAATGTGAAGGCTTTTCCAAGAACACATTTACACTGTAAACCAGACAACAATTACAACTTTAATATAACAAATATTAAAAGCAGCAATTCAAAACCAAAATCTTTTCAAAGGTGCACAGGTTTACACTGTCAGTTGGCAGTAATGCAGCCATTATCTGCGAGAGTGAAATGCTGGTGCGAGGGGTCAGGTGACCTGGCCAGGCCTTGTGCTAATTTCCCCAATGGGACAAGCACCCCCTTTCCTGCTCCTCAGGCCCAGCAGGGGAAAGGCAGATGGCCAGCCTTGCTCTTTGGCTTTCCCAGCAGCTTGGAAAGCAGATGTTGGAGATTGGCATGCTCACTGAAGCCAACAGGAAGGCACACATCTGACCCCAGTTCCCACGCTCCTCCTGGCCTGGGAGTTGGCTTCACAATTCTCCTTCCACCTGGCCCCACTTGGGGATCTCAGTGGCAGCAGCTGTGAGACTGAGAATCGGGACCAGTCTGATCTGCTCATCCTTGCCTGAGTCAAGGCAGGGAAGCAGAGGAAAATGGGTGGCTGTGTCCAGAGTGAGAGGTGATGTCCCATTGTAAGGCACTACAATTGCTGAGGTTTAAGGCAAGGGACCCCTGAATGCTCACAGACAGGTGTGGAGGGGTCAGGCCTGGTCATGGAAATATCAGCTCCTTTAATACAGGTGTGATGTTCCCATGCTGCCCATCTTCTTTTTTCCAGCTGGCAGCCTGCAAAACCCTGCCCAGCTGGAAGCCACAGCGGCAGTCAGGGAGGTTAGTCCCAATCTGGTGCCCCTGCCTCCCATCCCAAAGGCACTTCTTTCCACTTTCCAACCAAGTGAGTCAGCTTCTAATATTTCTGCAGGCAAAATAAGGGCTCCCTGCCCACCTCCTAATTTTGGTTTCCCTCCAGATGAGGCTGTTTGCCCATTCTAAGGGTTCTATTTATACCATCAAGGACAAAGGCTTCCTTTCTGAAGGGAGGGAATGATTCAGGCCCTTGAAAAAGCCCAGCCTGTTCTCAAAGTGATTGTCAGTTCCAGGGTGAGACAGGTGCTGTACAGGAGAGGGGTGTCTTTTGTGCTTCTCTGTGGGGGGTCGAGGCTGGGTTACAGCCAGAGGGGGCAGGAGCTTGTTTTTCACATTTAATTGCAGCATGCATCCCTGAAGAGGCCAAGGACAGGAGCCAGGGTGCCCAGAAGGAATGTGACTGATTCTCTCTCTCTCTCTCTCTCTCTCTCTCTCTCTCTCTCTCTCTGTGTGTGTGTGTGTCCACACAGTGGTGTGGTGTGGACTGTGGTGGATCTGGGATTTAATCTGACCTGGCTTGGCTCCTGATCTTTTTCTTTGAGATCTAAGTGTTTAAGAACACCTCTATGTAGCAAGGCCTGGCTCCACTCCATGACAACAGTGAAGGGTTATTGCTGGAAACTAACTTCTGGGACCCTGTAGTCTTCCCTCTGAGCCTCAGTAAAGGACCCTGGTGCTGGTCCCTTCAGTAGAGACCCAGCTCATCACTCCCCAGGCTCTGGGTCCCAGCTGCTCTTTCTCAGACACCCCTACCTTCCTGGCATTAGGGGCATTGGTGAGAAAGTGGAAGACCCTCAGGGGCTCCTTTCTCTCAGTGTGGTTCCAGTGAGAACTACTGGAGGCTACCCAATGAGGGACAGATGTAGATGTGCACGTGGAAGATGTTGTGAGGACACAAAATTCCCGAAAGGGCTGAGGTAAAACGATAGAGAACTGGGGATGATGAAAATCAGATTCAGGCCTCAGGATCAGGATTCCGGGCCACATCCAGGGTACCCTGTAACCCCAGGAACCAATAAACAGTAGAGGGGTATGGAGTGTATGGACAATGAGAAAGTCAGCGGGGTCTAGAGACACAGGCAGTCGGTACAGCAGCACACAGGCCTTGGCCTGGTGGGCAGCAGGCAGGGGTACAGCCAGGCACTTATGGCCCTGCCCTGCTTCCCTCCACCATCCCAGCCTGGAGAAAACAGGGAGCCAATGGCTTCTTCTGTCCCTCCTTTGGTTTCCAGGATCTAGGCAGCCCCTGAGGGGTAATCAGTAAGGAGTAGTCCCTTCCCATTCCAACAGGTACTGAACTTTGCCCTCTGGTGTGACCCTCCGAGCCAACACTTGATACTTCTCCCCACAGGCCAACCGTCCAGCTGCGCCAAAGTAGTTGGTGATAGATGACTTGAGATGGGACAAGGAGGAGTCATCTTCACTGATGCTTTCCAATGTGTGGCTGTCAATGCCTTCATCTGGCTGCTCAGGGCCCAGAGCTCCCTCTGCACTGCTGTCTGAGGGGCAGCGTCCATCCAGCTCAGCCACCTGACGCTTTGCCCGAAGGGGCATGTACGCTTTGGCTGCCAGCTTCCTCTTGCGGCTGCCTACTGTCCATCTGTATCAGGAGGGGAAACGGGATAAGTTGGAACAATCATTAGATTCCTCTCCCTGAGAGTCTCTTAGGTACCAGGTGGGACTGGTGTTCTTAGGTACCATGCTAGACCCTGGGCATGAATTATCTTGCTGGAACGTCACAGTAGCCCTATAATAGGGAAACTGAAGCTCCAGAGAACAAATCGTTAACAGATGCTGAGGCATGACTGCCATGACCTGAATCACTAGTGAGAAACCCAAAAAGCAGGAAGAGTAGGGGTGATAGCTCAGTGACAGAGCACTTCTTTAGATGCATGAAACCCTGGTTTGATCCCTAGAATCCAATTTAAAGCCACAGAGGCAACAGCAGAGAAGGGCAGCCAGTCAGAAAGTGTGAAAGTAGAGGAGGGTTTCCATCTTTATAGACACTGACTGCAGTTTTAAGTCTGCTCCCCCAAAGTCTCTAGAAGATGGAGATCCAGAGTTCAGAGGGGTCTGTGCCCAGCAGTAAAATAAACTATACCCTTAGCCAGACCCCCAGGGTCTTCAGCCTCCCCCTATAGTCTGCCCCCTCTACCATGCTTAAAATAAATGAATTTTCCTCTTAGAGACACTGGCATTCAAATCAGACAGTCAGGAACTGAGAATAGGAGCCCTGTGGTCTGAGTCACAGACACACACACAGTCATAACACACACAGGCTAAGACGCCCAGAATGAAAAGGACTCTGACCAAATAGCCCCAAAATTGGATTGCTTGATTAGAAGGAACACACAGTCATCAAGCAACGGACAACCCAATCAGAAGGGATCGCATCACCTTAGCCTCCATGCTGGTGACTCCAAACAGAGGGTCCAGAGCAGACTAAGTCACAGAAGACCAGCACCCCTCCCCCACCTCTATCTCAAGACTTGGAAGTGCAGAATGAGTCTTCTCAAGCAATGGGAAGTGGATAGGCGGGGCCTGCTGCCCCTGGCGGAGCTCTGGGGCAGGCCCTCAGGAAGCTCACCTAGAGTCATAGGAGAGACTGGTGGAGGCTGAGCCCGACGTGCTGACAGCATCAGTGGAGTCTACATCTGAGAAGATGGTGTGGCCTGAGCTGGTGCTGAGAGGGAGAGAAGACAAGCCTGCTGCTGGGTCAGCTCAGCAAGGACCAGCCAGGCCCTCAGGGTCCCTTGGAGCCTCTTCACCTTCTACGTCTCTCATAGGCATCCTCCATCCAGCAGAGGCTGCCCATCTTCCCCTCACTGCCAAGCCGCTCACCCCAGACCTGCCTCTCTTATTTCCATGCATTTTAGTCTTCAAAGTTGGGAGTAAAAACCAACCAACCAAACAAACAAAGAACAACCCAACTCTCCCTGACCAACCTCCCCTGGTGATGGACACACTGGTGACACCAGCCACGGGCCATCAGGCACTTGTGCAGTTTCACGGATACAAAGTATGTAGGAAAATGAGGAGATTGGAGGTTAAGAAATTTAGCCAATGCTGTGTAGTTAGAACTGGCAAACATGGACCAGAGTTCCCATTTGACTCTAAATCCCCCACTTCCTGCTCCAGAGAGTTGGGGAGTAAAGTAAAGATGAAGTTCCTGCCCTTGAATTACCCAACTATGGGTGCTATGAGCTCTAAGCAGGCTTCTAACACAGCCTGGGAGGGTCAGTGAGGGCTTCCCGGAGGAAGCAATATCCTGAATTTTTGGATGGAGGAGGGCAGGGCACAGAGCGTTGCAGGCAGAGGCCTCAGTGGGATCACTGTGTAGCACTATCAGTGTGAGCGTGAGGTGGGAGAGGGTGAAGGGAGCTGGGACAGTAGGCAAGGCAGCCTGGGCCACTGCTTTGGAGGGCAGAGGGCGCCATGCTGCCAGCTGTGTACAAAAGATTCTCAGGCAGCCTGGTGCACATTGGACCTTTGAACTGAAGGCCCATGAAGAGAGTGTGTACACCCTCAGGATGTGGGGAGGTACCTTTTTAAACTCTGAATTTCATCCAGGGTGAAGTCGAATATACTGGCCAGGTGGTGGTTGGTGCTCCAGGCAGAAGTGAAGTCACTCTGTAGACATCACAGGGACAGGATCAGTCACGAGACTACAGACCTATTGGTTCCCAAGCAGCTTCCCCCCAGCTGAGGGGCATATAGGACCTGCCATTTCCTCTTGACTCTAAACTGTGACCAGAACTCCAAGTCACCCTGATTTCTAGTCCTGACCTCTCCAGCCACCCAGATGACTTTCATCTGCCTCTCTGGGTCTCTGTTGCCTCCACTGCAAAGCTCAGAGCCTGCCTTGCTTAGAGGTCACGGGAAGCAGTTAGGACTGTGCTGTTGTGAAAGTATTACAAACTATAAAGTGCTGGGGTGCAGAGGCATTGAGAACAGTTTCAGTGAGGGTAATCAAAGCAGAAAGCTTTGCTGATACGCTCCAGGCCACTGCTGTGAAGTGTGGCATCTAAACTGTGTGCCCCACACAGTTCCTGTTTTGCCCAGGATTATTATCTACCCCTGCCCCACCCATATGTTCTCAGGAGAATTTGGGGTAGATATGCAATAGTGGTCTTGGGGTCCATGGTATTTTCTTGCTTCTCTGTAACTGCAAGTATGATACTGGGGCATTCCTTGGGTCTGGGGACAGTATTGGGACAGTTCAGGAACCCCCTAATGCATGCCGTCCCTGCACATGAAACTGGAGAATAAGAAAACCAGGAACTAACACTGGGAATAGCATCTTCCAGCAAGAACTTTGATCTTTTTCTTCTATAAACTCGCCTTTTCTGCTGCTGGGATTCATGAGGCAAGAAACTGTGGAGACAGAAAAGGGAGAGGGTGGCCTAGTTAGAGCTGGAGGGGCCAGGGCAAGGCTCAGTATCAGAAGTCTCAGGAGTGCTGGGGTCAGGGACAGTGTGGGGTCAGGAGGGTTTGGGCAGAGCAGAGGGAGCCAGGGAGAAGGGCATCCTCCAGGGCAGTGAATGTGAGTAGCTTTAGAAAGTGGAAAAAGGAAAGGTCCCTCCTTATTCCAGTGCCCCTAAACAGGAGGTGTGCCCAGCCAGGAGAATGAGGACACATCACACACTTGTGTCCCTTCTCTGCCCAGTCCTAATGCAGCAGGGCTGGTTCCCAGGATTGGGAAGTGAGGGGCCTATGAGCTTCCCACTAGCTCTTCCAGGGTGCCTATAGCCGGACCCTGCTGGGTCTAGGGACCCCAGGCTTACAGTGGTGCTGCCACACCGCTTAGGCCCATTGCATAACATCTCCCATCTGCAGTTGCTGAGAGCTTGGTCAGAGAACCCCACGCTGGCTGTAGCCACAGCCCTCCACCAGCACTGACCCAGGCTTGCTCTTTCCTTTCTTACGAAGCAGCTCAGAGGTCCCTCTCTCACTGGGCACCAGCACCCTGTCAGGAAGCAGCTTTCCTGGAGGGGTGGGCGGGACGCGGATGCGCAGGCGGAAGATGCACTTCTTCTTCTTAATCTCCTTGCCACATAGGAACCTGGGGTGGGCAGGAAAGAGGCCAGGCTGTCAGCTGAGCCTCTGAGAGTGGGAGAGTGGAGTGAGTAACCACCAAGGCCACTGGCCTCTTTGCCTTCAGAATGAATCCAGTCCCCAGCTGAGAATGTGGCCCAGTGCCCCCTGCCTCCTGCATGTATTCTTGCTGGTGGAAAAAAAATGAAGGAAGTTGGGGAATAAATGCAGAGAGCATAGGAAAAAAGTGCTGGATACACCAGATGTGGTCGTGCACACTTGTAAACACAGCACTTAGGAGGCTGAGGCAGGGGGATCAAGAGTTTGAACCTGGGCCAGAGTGAGATCCTATCTCAAAAATCAACCAACCAACCAACCAACCACCAAACACCCACCAATCAACCAACTACCAACCAACCTCCAAACAACCTCCAACCAACCAACAACCAACCTCCAAACAACCAACAACCAAATTCTAACCAACCACTAACCAACCATCCACCAACCAACCAACCAACCACCAACCAATCAACTAACCACCAACCAACCTCCAAACAACCTCCAACCAACCACCAACCAATGGGTAGGAAGCCAAGGACTTAGAGGGCCTGGCTGATACCCAGAGTCCATAAGGCAAAAGGAGAGCAGAATGAGATGCAGACAGGGAGGACCATGTATAAAAGGCCTTGGACATGGCTGAGGGACAAGTGTGTGCTAAGAACAGGATGGGAAAGCACAGGCTAGGGAAGCATGGGTGGCTGAAGCCCTGAGACAGGTTTTTCCAAGCTCTCCAGCTGCCTGGGGCATAGAATGGAGCCTAGCACACAACTGAGTCAGTGTCCCTGAGCAATTGGGAAGGCTTTGTGAAGGAAGCCCCTTGGATGGATGGCTTCATTCCCAGGATTGAGAGAGTGGAAAGGAGAAGCCAGGCAGGGAGCACAGCTGGAGCAGAGGATACACAGTAGGAGGGGCCTTTAGATTGAGACCTCACCTGTCAGGCCTTTCCCCTCCCTCCCTGCACTCACCGGCTTTTGTAACTGTTGAGAGCATTGAGGAGATGCGGTCCTCGATCTGTCACAGGGGTGCTGGTGAGCTAAAGGAAGCAGGCCAGCAGGAAGGTCAGCCTTACGCGGGGGGCATCTGAGGAGGCACTATCCTGACCCCCTTCATACCCTCCCACCCCTGCCACCTCATGCTCCAGTGTCCTCCAGGTGAGAACCACTGACTCACAATCTTTTTACCTGTCTGAGCTCATCTTCCCACCTGTAATACAGAGGAAACCCTGGCACCAATGCTTCAGGAGCTGTATAGGGCCGTGACTGGAGCCCAGTGGGAAACTGCTCGCCTATCATACACAAGGCCCTGGGTTAATCCCTCATTGCTGCTTTAAAATGTCCACACTTGCCAGGTGTGGTGGTACAAGCCTTCAGTCCCACACTGAAGCAGAGGCAGGCAGATCTCTGTAAGTTTGAGGCCAGCCTGGTCTACAAAGCAAGTTCCAGGACAGCCAGAGCTATACAGAAAAATTCTGTCTTGAAAAAAAAAAAAAAAGCAACCAAACCAAACAAAAAAACCAACAACAAAAATCCCCAAACAAGCAAACAAAAACACCAAAACCAAAACAAACAAAAAGACACAAAGACAAGCAAATACACCTTTAGTGTATGCCTTTAGTCCCAGCACTCAGGAGGCAGAGGCAGGCAGATTTCTGAGTTTGAGGCTCGGCCTGGTCTGAAAAACAAAACAAAAAAACCGTCCACACTCTTGACCAGTAATACCACCCTATGAGATCTATGATTTTCGCACACAAAAATGTGCCCACCCTGAGAGAACATCAGTACAGCCATTTAAAAGGTTATAAAAACACCAATAATCTGGAACAGCTTAACCCTAACCAAAAAGACATGATCTAAAATAGCAAATACTATTTCATGTAAACTATAAGAAAATGGAGGAACAGGATATAGCCATGCTTTATTTCTAGTTATTTCTGAGTAGTGAAAATAGAGATCTTTTAAAAATATACTTCTGTTTTGATAATTTAAAATTTCCTTTCTGTTAGAAACATATTTTGCCAGGTGGTAGCTGGCGTATCTCTGTGAGTTCGAGGCTAGCCTGGTCTATAAGAGCTAGTTCCAGGACAGCCTCCGAAGCCATAGAGAAACCCTGTCTTGAACAAACAAACAAACAAAAAACCAAAAAAACCAAAAAGAAAGAATTTTAAAAAAGCATTTATTTTTATGAGTGTTTATCTGCATGTGTGTGTGTGTGTGTATCATGTGTGTGTAGTGTCCATGGAGGTCAGAAGAGGATGCTGGACCCCTGCAACTGGAGTTACAGACAGTAGTAAACTGCCATGTAAGTGATGGGAATGGAACCTGGGTCCTTGGTCTTTGCAAAGGCAGCACAAGTGCTCTTGACTGCTATCATCACTCTAGCCCTTATGCATGATTTTTTTATAAGTCAGAAAAATTATTAAAAATATTATCAACTCTAGAGGCTAGAGAGGTGGTTCAGTGGTTAAGAACAATTGTTCTTACAGAAGGCCTAGTTTTGAGTTTTACCACCAACATTCGTAACTCCAGTTGCAGTGTACCCAACACCTTCTTATGACATCTGTAGTCACCAGGCACACATGTGGCACACAGATGTGTACATGAGCAAAACACTCATTCACATTAAATGAATTAAATACTGACTCTATCTCTATCCTTCAAGACTTTCTGTGTCTTACAGCTTACCAAACACTATAAATGGAGACATTATATACAACTGCATGCCATACATATATTTGTGTGTGTTTTTTTATTACAGTGTGTGTGTGTTTGTGTGTGTGTGTGGCAATGTGCATGCCATGGCACATGTGTGAAAGTCAGAAGACAACTCAGGGCATGGGTCAGTTCTCTCCTCCACTCTGTGGGTCCTAGAGATTGAATTCAGACCCCCAGCGGGCACCCTCACCTACTGAGCCAGCTCAACAACCCTTGTTTGTTTTTTACAACTCTGCCCCATCAAAGAAAGTTCAGGCAGTCAGTGGGAGACATCTCATTCTGCAGCAGCAAAGAGGTCTCTGAGGTCCCATAGTCCCATAGAAGCGGTGAGGCTACTCTCCAGCTCTGACAATTTCCAAGTCTGTTAGTTATGGGCACCGAGGCCCCTGGAAAAATAGTGCAGAGCAAGACCAGCAGAAGACAAACACAGCCAGACAAATCTAGCCAGGAAATCTGGTGTGTGCCAAATTCCTTAGCAGAGAGTCCCATTCTGGTCAAACTTGGTGCAATGTCTCAGTTCCCTCAAGCTGAGTTAGTGAGACCCCCCCCAACTGACCACTGCCCAAAATGATCAGAAATCCCCTTCCTGGGACTGTCTCGGAGGTTTTGACTCAAGGAACTGTACTCGAGGGTGAGAGCTTAGGTTTCTACACCTAGTCCCGCACCGAGTGACCCTGTGCAGGTATTTCTAGCACCTGGGCCCATACATACCTTGCCAAGCTGCAGGAGCTCCCAATGGTGATTGACAAAGGCCAGAATCTCCTCAAAGTCAAAATATTTCTTCTTGCTCTGTACTCCCAGGTTATAGAGGGCCAGGTGAACTATGTCCACCCTGAGCAAGAAGGCAAGGGCCAAGTGAGGGTCAGGGTAGAGGGCAGAGGGTAAGGGAGGAGCTGGTAGGGACAGGTCCCATCCTCTCACCATCGCAGGGGCAGCCTCTCGATATATTCTGGGCCTTGGTTACACACGGAGCACAAAAACAGGTAGAACCTGGGGGTAGGCGAGTAGGGGCTGAGATGGGAGAGCACCTGACCCTTAGCCTAGACTATCCCTCACATTCCCACCTGTTTCCTCCTGGTCAGCATCCACTCCTGGGCTGTCAGCCTCTAAGCAGTGGAGGGGACAGGACCAAGGAATATGTCTCTATCTTTGACCCCTCTCCAAATCTCACTGACCTAGAGTTCAGCTCCATTTATAAAGAGGTTGGGCTGTAGTGGTCACCACTGTCTCTACACACACCATGCCATACACCCACACACACCAGCCGCCAGCCAAGATTTAAAAAAGCATAATATTTGATTCGGCATATATAATGCCTCCCATTCACTTAGCCCTACTAAATAGAAGCCATCTATTTCCCTCATAGTTTCTATGGTAACTTTTGATAAGGCTAAGGTAGAGACTATCATCTCTCCTTCCTGAGGCATCTGTAGAGACTGGAGCTTAGTGAAGGCAGGAATTTGCTTAAGGCTCCACATAAATCAGTGGTAGCTAGGCATGTAGCCAAGCATGTTGCCTTATCATCTCCTGGCCCAGCATAGCCAGGGTCCCTTTTATCTTGAGCTGTCTCCTTTAGATAATCATAGCCTATCACAGACCTCCTTTGTATTGAATCTAGCAGATAATCTGAGGTTGCTGCTGTCACCCTTGTCCCCTACACCCAGTCAGCACCTACCGGTCTCCAAACATCATAGGCTCATTGAGGCACTGGGTGCAAGCTTCATGAAACCACTGCCTACACTGGTAGCACTGCAGCATCCTCAGGTACCACCTGTAGACACAGGAGAGCCAGGTCAACCACATCACAGTCCAACAGACTCCCTGCCACCACAAGAAGGGCAAGAGGACTGTTGGCCACAGTCACTAAGCACCTGGAAGTCAGAGCTAGGTTAACATCATTGGATCTTGCATTTAGTAGAAGAAAAACGCACCATTGGCCCCAGCCCCAATGCATAAGGTTAATATGCAGATTCCCTGATCAGTTTCATTTCAGAAGAGCCTTTTGGAAGTGGAGAGCACCAACTTACTAATGCTATATAGGTTTCTGTATTCTGTTTCCCATTGTTCATTCATTAGGCCCTCCCAGAACACTGGGAAGCTCATGGGTAATTAAGGTAACTAAACTATTTGAGAGATGAAGCAGTTCAAATGGAGTAGTTAAGAGTCCAGCTGGGCTTTCAGGCAACTCCTAGACAATCAGAGCTGGCCCTCAGACTCAGGGTAGGGGAAGGGGCAGTCTGCCTTCTACAGAGGGTAGAGATCCTGACTCTATTATACATAGCCCAAAGGAGAAGGTTCAACTGTTCATGGAGGCCCAGGTGGGCAAGGATTCTGGCCCCACAGCAGAAAAGACTCTCCTTCATGACTTTAACGCAGACCCTGGCCTGCTGGAGGTCTCCAGGAAGTCAGGGTACCCACCTGTTCCCCTGACTGACCTCCACTCCCTTGTAACACTACAACCACCATTAGTAATAGATTACCAGGTCCCAGCCTGTGTGAGCCTGGGTGAAGTTACCTCTGCTCACAATTGTACAAGGAAAGACTAGTAAGTGAACCGAGATGAGGGGAGACACAGCTGGCAAGGTGCTATGATAGGTTATGGATATCTCTGTTAGACCTAGGTGTCCCCTCTCCCCCCAACTTGCTCCTTTCTCGGGTGACTCCAAGAAAAGCTCTCTGCCTCCTGCTCTCCCCTGCAGTCTGGACAAGTTCTCCCTCAGAGTTTGCTTTCAGAGTCCACCATTTAAGGCCCCTAGGCTGCATTATCGCTGCTATCCACCCACGGGGCCACTCTGGGTCTCCCTACTGAAGCCCCATCCTCTTGCAGAGTGACACAGCCCCAACATTAGAATCTACTCTCCCTAAGTGACATCGGGGATCTGCCCCTCCAGATCCCACCTCTATGGCCTGACACCTAGATCTCGCCCTAGCTACTGTCACTACTCCAGGCCAGTCTCCCCAAGACCTGGCCCCTTCGAGATCCACCTCCAAGCTTGACACTAATGCTTGGTCCTGGGGCTGTCACTCTGGGTCCACCCCTCTAGATCCTGCCTTCACAGCCTGACCCCTGACACTCAGACCCTGCCCCTAGCTGTCTTGTTACTCAGGTCTGGTCTCCGCAGCCTGATTCCCCAAGACCTAGCCACTGAGCTGACACTCTAGGTCCGCCCCAAGACCCAACCTCCAAAGCATGCCACTAAGGCCCCGCCCCATGGCTGTCACTCAGTCCGCCTCTTCAGAGGCTGCCACTCAAGCCCCGCCCCTCTGCCTATCACCCCCGCCCCGCCCCCTGAGGTCGGGCTCTCTTGTCTGGCTGTCAGGCCACCCGCGAGCCCAGGTCTCCCGCACGTGCCCTGCCCTGCAGCCTTACTCTCCAGGCCCTCCGCAATAGCAATAGCATTGCTGCTGGTTGGTGCGATGGGGCGAGTCCCACTCGAGCTCCTCGGGCTGGTAGGACAGCACCATCTTCACAGCCTGCAGAGTCCTGGCGATGGCGCCTTTCTTCAGCGCGCCGCCTTTCTGGGGGAAAAATGGGGCCCAGGTTACCAACAACACCTGTTAGCATACCGCTATCAGGAGAAATGCTGCCAGGGTTGGGGAGATCCAGGCATTTTAAGAGCATCAGGAAAGTAAGGAGCTTTTTCTCACCAATCCTCCCTCAAAGATATTAACAGCATTAGTAGTAATTAGCAGAACACAGACAACAATTAACCACGTATAAGGGGCATGTGTATAAAGTTGTCTTTCAATAGCAAATCACCCTTATTGGGTGCCCATTTTATGGTTGGGGAGGAAACTGAGGTTTAGAAAGGCCCTGAAATTTGGCCTAGGACAAAGAGCTAGTAGGTGGCAGAACATCCTGTGTCTCCAAAGCCCAAGTGGTGTCCTTCTGAGGACAGGGTCAGTGATGGGGGCTCGGCCTGAGGCTGGGGAGACTCTGGTCTACCAGGTTGGGAGGCAGGAAAGCAAGGACTGGGGAAAGGGGGTGCTCACCCTCACAGCCAGTGCGAAGATGCAGCGTCGGCAGAACCACGGAGTGAGGAGGGGCCGGTCGGCACTGCCTGCAATGGGGATGTGGCACTGCTGGTGGTACCCTAGGGCAAAGGAGGGAGTGGTGAGTTATTCATAAGGAAGCGGTGGCCCAAGGCTAGTTGGCCAAGGGCAGCGAGGATGGCAGAGCTATGGCAAGCCCTAGGGAGCATTGCCTGCCAGCTTCCAGGTACTGGCTGGTAGAACCCACCCAGGAGCCAAGCTGGTACCCAGGGAGGGACTAAAAGACAGTATTGGCCACTTCAAGAGGAACCAAAGATGGCTTCAGCGCCAGCCCCAAACTCGATAACCTTGCTCTTTCTCAGCTTTCCCCAAGGCGGGAGATGCTCTCAGGGACAGAAGGAGACATCAGAAGCCAGATGTGGGGAGGGACCCATTAGTCATGGCCTTCCCTTTTCATCCACTCACCCAGGCCACACTTGCCACAGATGAGGATCTCATTCATTGGCCCTGATGTCTTCCCCAGGCAGATGTCACACTTGGGCTCCTCTCCTGGAACACCGGCTGAAAAAAGAAGTCCTCTCTACTCAGGTCTAGCTCACATGATCAAGAAAAAGTCAAAATCACAATCTGGGAGGGAATCCATACTTGGAAATGGCAGGAAACTCATAGGTCCCCTACTAGGAAATTTAATTCTGGTGTTTAGCTAAATCGACACAGTGTTGATTTGCCTTCTAAATCTATGTTATACTAATAGACAGTTACTACTCAGCTTTAACCAGAGAGGTGTCTGTTTCCTGTGAACTGCAGAGAAACAGCTGTACAAAACACTGACAATAACTGACTGTTGACGGTTCAGCTCTAAAGAGGATACCCACACCACACCCTCCATGGATCATGTGGAAGAGGGGCCAGAAAGAAACCTAAGAGCTGGAAGACAGAAATAAGGGCTGTGAATAGTTAGTGAGCACTGCAATCCTGAACTGGTTTTTCCCCCTTCTTTCTGAGACAGGGTTTCTCTGTGTACCCCTGGCTGTCCTGGAACTCACTCTGTAGACCAGTCTGGCCTCAAACTCATAGAGATCAATCTGCCTCTGCCTCCTGAGTGCTGGGTTGAAAGGTGGGCGCCACCACTGCCTGCCACATCATGAACCCTTAACAGTTCAGATGATGACATTGGGTCTGCACAAGAATGGGCCATATACTGATGGCATAGGCCCTGTTCCTTGTGCTGGACCATTTCCTATGGAGACATTTTGGGGGATAAGGAATTGATGACTCTACTGGGCTCCAGTAGGTAATGCCAATATAACAGTCACAGAGATGACCCTGATTAAACCAAATGCATCTGGGAAAGGGCATATGGAGAGGACGGGGGAGATGATGGGGTAGGAGGGAGAGAGGAGTGGTTGAGAAGAGTGTAACAGGAATGCATACTGCACATGCATGAAACTGTCAAGGACGTTATTTATTTATTAAAGCAATAGTACCAAAAACCACAGGGAGGGTCTGAACTTCGGCTGTGCACTGAAAGCTACCTTACTGAACCTTCATAGTCCTTCAGAGGTGACTGTTAACACCTTTTCCAAAGATGGGGAAACGGAGGCTCAAGAAGTTAAGGTCCTTGCTTAGACATTAAATAGGAGAGTGGAATGCAAACTCAGCTATCCCACAGCTAATTCTTTGCTCTTTTTACCACATCTGGTTCCCTCTCCTACATACTCCAGCTTGCTTTGTTTTTTTTTTTTTTTATGTCAAATGACATTTAAAACATTTATTATTAGATAAGAATGTATGCTTATAAAGAAATTTCATACTTCCACCAATTGTGAACTCAAAGACAATCCTGTTTAAACTATATTCTCACCCATAACCTCCTAGTATTTCAAATCAAGACCCACACATCCATTCATTTTTCTATAACTATCTCAGGTCAGAGCTCTCTTTAAACACACTGCATAACCTAAAGTTACTTTTATTTACAAATGTCTAACAAATTAAAATGTCATTATAATTTTGTGTTTTGAATCAAGACCCAAAGTCCAGATGCAGTGACCGAGTTAACTTGTTTATTTTGGTTTTTTTGGAGCTAGGGTCCTGACCCAAGGCTTGTCCTTGCCGGGCACACTGTCTGCCACTGAAGCAAACCCAACCCCTAACAGAGCTATAGAATGGCTCTTCATTCACCTCCTCAATATTTTTTCATGTTGGTCTTCTTTTGTTAATGAATAAATATATTTTTATATGGGAAGTACGTGTGTGGTTATGTTAAATGCATTTTTTCCTTTTGAGGGATGCAATGGTGCTTAGCATAAAACCTAAGACTTTGCACATTCTAGGCAAACCACAGAGCTACTTCCATCCACTGCCCACAAATACAATTTTCCAGTGTATATACATGCATGTAGGTTCATGTGTGGGCAGGTGCACATTGTGTGCAGGTCACATTGAGCAGGGGCCACCATCTTGTCTTTTTTTTTTTTTTTTTTTTGAAGACAGGGTTTCTCTGTGTAGACCTGGCTGGCCTCAAACTCAGAGACCCCCTGCCTCTGCCTCCTGAGCCAAGTGCTAGGATTAAAGGCATGCACCACCACTGCTGGCTCATTTTATCTTTTTGAGATGGGGTGTCTCACTGAACTCTAGGGTTCACTGACTAGGCCGACTGGCCAGTGGGCTCCAGGTATCTGCCTGTCTTCACCTCCCCACCGTGGGTTATAAGTATAAACCACCATGCCAGCTTTCTTTGAAATGTATATTGGTTTTTATGTGTAAGGGTTTTGTCTACATGGATGCGTGTGCTCCACTTGTAGGCCTGGTGCCTGTGGAGTTCAGAAGAGGATGTTGGATAACCCACAACTGTGCTTACAAATGTTTGTGAGCCACCATTTGGGTCCTCTGGAAGTATAGCCAGTGCTCTTAATTTCTGACCAATCACCCATGTCCATTTTATTATGTGGGTTCTGGGAATCAAATCTGAATGCTTGTGCTAGCAAGTTAAGTATTTTTACTGACTGAGACACCTTCCCACACTCTCCTTAAATACATTTGAAAATGATTTTAAAAAATTATCTTTTTAGTACAAAAGGTTTATTGGGGGAGGGGACTTAAAGAGCAAAAGACCCCATTAGAATGGGTCTATGAGAGAGGCAGGCAGACAGACAGAGAAAACAGGGAAGAGTCAAGAAACAAACAGAACACGAGAAGTAAGGGAGGAAGGAAGAGGCAAGAAGAATCAAAAATGAATTTTTAAATTAATTTTTAGTTATGTGTCTATGTGTGGGTATGTGCACATGCGTGCACATGCCACAGGAGGTAGGAAGACATTACATTCTCTGAGATGGAGTTACAGGTGATTGTGAGCCACTAGATGTGGGTGCTGGGAACTAAATTCACCTCTGTAAGAGCAGTACATACTCTTAATCCCTTAAAAACATTTTGATGTGTTGCTTCTCTTTTGTTACTGCAGAAGGCTGCAAGGAATTTTTTGTTTAGTTTTTTGACAGTTTTTGAGATAGTCTTGCTGGCCTTGAACTGGTGACTCTTCTGCCTTATTCTCTTTAGGATGAAAGTTTTGTAAATGCAGAAATGGCCTTACTGCATCTCTGTGCCCTCAGGCCCCAAATGGGATATGGCAGGTAGTATATGTTCAAGGTGTATTTGTTGACTAAATGGCCAGGCAAGGACCTTGCCTTGTTCTACACTCAAAGACCATGGTACCCACATTGAGTGTCAGCCTCCCATTGCTTAATAAAGTGATACATAGTAACTGTATCATGCCCAGCTTTGAGTACTCATCTTAAGGGATGCCAAGAGGTTACTGGCCTGTTGGATGGATATGGGACAAACTGTCCCTGGATACACCCCTGTTGTGCCCTGTCCCTGTGCCTGCTGCACAGTGGGATGCTTCCCAAGCCCTATGCATTTGAAATATCTTTCTTCTGCTTCTGGAGTTTTAGGCTTTTCTTAGAAGTATGACCAGCAGGACTTGCTCATAGCTTTGGATCCACAGAAAACAGGTTTAGGGTGCAAGGGACTAGAGGAAAGAACCAGCCTCCCCTGGGCACAGGTTTTTGGAGAAAAATCTGTTCTTTTAAAGACCCACAAACTGGTTGGTCCTGTGGCCCATGTGGCCAGCTTCTTGGAATCACCCTTCCCAGTAGTAAATTCTTAGAAATGGCCCTTCCTATGGCACTTAGCTCTGGGCTGAGCATACTACATGACCAGCTCATCTAATCTTCCCACTGTAGTGAAGCCTGGGCTCCCTGTCTCTTCCTTTCAGTTGAAGAAATGAGGACTAAGGAAGGTGACATCACTGCTCAAGGCTCTGTAGATAGATCTGGAACATGGTTCAGGGGCTGTCTGACTCTAGAACCTGCTGCAGTGGGCCATATCTGTTCTATTAAGGATAACTGATGTTTAATAGGTTTCCTCTCTCATGCCAGTTGTCATAGTTGGTGTTTGGAGTTCCATGAAAAAGTACATGGGTATTGTGACTAGCGATTATGCAAATCTGTCCTGTGTAGCCTGAATGATCACAATCAGCTGTAACTATAACATAGTGCCAGCTGCCAGAAGGCAGGGGTAGTGCCCAGCCCAGTCCCCCTTTCATCCTGAAAGCTGACCCAGCTCCATCTAGGCCTGGCCATTTCATGCTTTCTTGGCTGTTCCTTGCTCTAACCTCTTTGCCTCAGGGGTAAAGATTCCCCATCAACTTCTTCACATGCAGCTAGGGAGCACAGTTCATGCTTATAGCTGAACCCTCTGTCCTCTGGCTTCTTCCTCCTCCTTAGCTGTAGGAGACCCAGAGTAGCAGCCAACATTCAGGAAGGACACAAACTGCAGGCCTGAGGCCTGAGGCCCCTCCTCCATCTCTCCTGCCTCCCTCCTGAAGTCTGATCATTCAGGAAGGGGATCAATGTCACACAAGCAGAAACTTGAACATTGTCCCTGGTGAGTCCAGGATGAGTACCCAAGGCCTGGGCTCCATGGACTAGCACAGGTGCCAGGATGAAAGAAAGGTGATGGGAGAGAGAGGCACGAGGAACTCTGACACTCACCATGCTGTATATCCTTCCACAGGACCCAGTATTTGGAATTATCTTCAAAAGTCACAAGGCAGCTTTGCTTAGGACTGCTGACCTGAGTCGAGGAGAGGGAGAAGAGAAGAAGGGCAGCATGAAGAAGCAGCTGGGAGGGCCTGGGTCTCAGTCCTCCTCCATCTCCTGTGCCTAGGGCCATCAAGGACAGGGTGACAACTGCATGGGAGTGTTTTTAAGGGCAGAAGAACAGGCTAGAACAGCTCCCATGCTCTGCCGGGTCTGGTGGTTTGCCTAATTTCTCTAAAGAATCTGTTGGGCCACACTGGCCTCCGAGGATGGACCCTGTGAAGCCAGGGTCTGGATCTTTCAACTTTCAGCTTCTAGGCACGAGGGACAAGAAGAGATGAGCAGAAAGACCTGAGCTTGAACCAAAGGACTAGGGAAGGACTCACCCTCTTGATCTTGCCGAGGTAGTAGAGCCCATCTGTCCACCGGCATAGCACATACTGTCCTTCTGTCAGCTTGGACATCAGGTCTTTGAAGTTCTTTTTGGTCTTAGACAGGGTCCCTGTGTTAGGGAGGTGGCTGGTGGCACCATAGGCTTCCCGAGTCCCTGGGTCTAGAGCTTGAGTCTCCATCAGCTTCTGCTGACACTGGGAGAGAAGAAACAAGACCTTATCTTGCTCCCTGCCCCTGAAACCCTGTAAGGCTTTCAAACACACTGATTGACAGAACAACTCTTGGAGGGAGATATTATTACCCCACTGTAAGGGTAGAGAAACTGAGGAGAGGCAAGGAAAGTGGCTGGTGACCCAGAGGTGAACCATAGCTCACAACGAATCAAGCTGGCTTCTCAGAGATGTATTTCCCCACATACCTGGAACGAAGGCCCCGCCCATGGATCTGAACCTCAATACCTGTCCCTGGAGGAGGCCTTATCCCGTATGCGAACACTGTGGACTCAGCTCTGAGGAAATGTACACTAAAGACTTTAGGAAAAAGCCCACCTAGCAGAGAAAACTCTCGGGGTGGCTTGGGAACAGGTGTGACATAGCCACGTGCCTTTTGTGAGCCCCCTTTCTGTTCTCAATTATTTGATGATTTCATGGAAACCAATTCAGGGTATTTAAAAAACCTGCCCATGCTTTTGTCCACTTGCACAATTGGCTCAAAGATGTTAAGCCCAACACACCTGGCTCTTCCCATCCCATTGAAGTGCAGCCTTTCACTCCCCTTTTCCTGATAACGGTGTGGTGTAGTCATGGCTATCTGCAGACTTCTCCAGCCAGTGGGCTGCCCTACCGGTTTCTGGTACAGTGGAGCAGCATCCCTGCCCAGCAACCCTGCTTCTAGTTCTGTCCTCATCTTTCTCCATCAATTAATTCATCCACCTTTTTCTGAGCCTGTTGCTTGCTATTGCCTGGCACCTGGAATGAGGCGTCCCCAGGTCATTCCAGTTTCCCTGCTTCCCCACCTGAGTCTTCCAGAAAACTTTTGGTTCCCTAAGCCTTCACCGGTATTCAGCATTATTGCCTTCTACCCTCTGTGGGCTCACTTGGCACCACACCCCTGCACATACACTCTCCTAGGGTCAAACATAGCTTCCTCTTGTTGCAGTGTGTGGGGATGGTGTGGGCGGTCCTGCTCCGGTTCCCTCCCTCTGCCTAGGTGCTGGGCACCTGGCGCCCCTGGCCTGCTGACAGGAAGACAGCGCTGGGTGTGTTTTCTTCAGAGACCGAAAGGACACTATCTGTGGCAATGTGCCAGTCCCTATGTAAAACTAAATACACGTGGGTATGTGAGGGGCCCTGGGGCAATGGGGCACAGTCAGGGCTGTCCAGATGAGGGGTGAATACTTCCTACTGCCTTCTCCTTCCTATCTTTTACTCCAGGGCAGAGGCACAAGCACCAGGTACAGGCTGCAGTAGGAACTCTTGCCCTCTTCACCAGCACTTGGCTCTTAGGGCTCTGGGAGGTCCCTGCTTGCTCCGGCCTGGAGCGGGACCGGCCTCGGCAGGTTCACAAACTGACATTTCCTCCCCCTCTGAGATTTTGGGGGCAGGACGGGTCGTTGCACCCCCGAGGCCAGGCTGGGCCCCCGGGTAGCAGCCCCCCCACCCCGCCTCCATCCTCCTGGAGCGGGCCCCTGCGGGCTGTGATTGGCTGATTCAAACACATCGCCACAGAAATGCTTGTTTGCGGGTTCCCGTCGGCGTCCAGTTCAAATCCGCGGCACTGGGCGCGCGGGGCCGGGCTGGGGCAGGAAGCGCGGATGATTCATGCGCCGAGGCCTCTCCAGGGCAGCCGTTGGCTTTTTAAAAGGGTGTTAAGGGGGAGGACAGCCTGCAGCAGTGTCCCCTACGGCTTCAGGCGCTCTTTTCCTCAGTTGCTCCAAATGCAAACTTTCCCAGCTCCCAACCCGTAGTAGCCTAACTTTGGACGTGAGCAAAATCCCAAATGCCCTCCTACCCTCCCTCCAGAGCTTCATATGGAAAAGAAAAGACTCACGGCTACAAACGGAGACCTGTCACACACACCCTGCCCTGGGTCGGGGATGTGGCTGGGATTCCCGCTGCCCTGAGGGTACCGCTCGGACTCCATCACGGTCCCCATCCCACAAGCGCGCAGCTCCGCAGGACTCCACCCCCGCCCCGGGACTGTAGGACTCAACCTAGTGCTCTAGAAGGAGGGTCGTGTGCAGGGACTGAAGCGTGAAATGCGGAGTCTCCCGGGGCGCCCGCAGCGCGGGACTTACCGCGAGGCAGCGCGTCAGCCGGTCCCACTTGGAGTCTGGCCACCAGGCACATCGGCGGCCGCGGTGCGCTCGGCCCGAGACTGCCCAGCCAAGTGTCCGCCCGTGGGGCCGGGGTAGGGGTCTCGGCGGGGGCGGAGCGGGGCGGGGGCGCCGCGGGGAGGAGGGGACGCGGGGAGGGAGGGGCCGGTGCGCTCAGGAAGGGGCCCCCCGGGCGCGGGGCGCCATCTTTTTCGCGTTTTCCCGCGAATTATTGACGTCCCCGCTTATGTAATTAGCAGGGGCCGCACCGGCTTCGCCATTGGAGCCCGTGGCCGGCGGGGCCCCGCAGCGCCTCACGGGGCCGCCCCCGCTCAGCGAGCTGAGCCGGCACACGCGGAAACGCAGCTGCACAGACCCTCGGCTGGGAAGGCGTGCGCACACCACACGCACACAGTTACACCCAGACCCGGGTAGGTCGCCCAGCACCTTGATCTTACAGCACTGACATCCTACTCCACTTTTGGGAGATCAGGAGAAGCCTAAGAGAACCAGACACAGGACACATATACAAGTCATGATACTCAAAATGATACTGTGCCCTCAGCAAAGGCTCCCGCGGAACCACGTGTAAGGCACACAAGTCAGCAAGCACAGAGCCCCGACACATTAACCACAAGACCCACGACAGCATGCCACCCACGCACTGCAGAGATATAAGGCAAAAGAGACAGTCACACACTACGTGCACAAACACAGCACTTAGGCAAAAAAAAAAAAAGCAAATTTAGGACAGATCGTGTAGATATGGCTTCAATCAGATAAAGTCTCCCTTAGGGAGAAAAGACAGAGTGTCCCCACCCAGACTCACTGTTGGCGCCAGGTCTGCAGAAAGTGCTGGCTAACACCCCTTACCCACATTCCTGCCTCCGCTCCAGAAGGCCCCTTGCACCTGCTAGCTCAGCGCCTGCAGGCACTCCTGCAGAGTGAGTGCATTTGTGGGAGTTTCCCTACTCATTGTCCAGTGGTCCACATTTGGCCCGCTGCTCCAGGGATGTTGGCAGTGCAGACTGCAGCTCCTGTTGCCTTCTACCTGTCTCCCAGCTTGAGATACAGGCATCCTCTTCCACCCTTCCTCATCCCTTCACCTCTGAGTCTTCCTGCTCCTTAGGTCTTACTGCCCTCATTCTAGATCTTTGACCAAGAGCAGAACCTCCTAATCGCGAGCATCTCTCTCCCTTTTGCTGGGCCTGGAAAGGAAGTTGGTAACAGCCCCATCAGACAGGATCTTCCAGTCTAGGAATGCCAATTCAAAGGCACCCACAGGACCAGCTATTTAGTCACTTTCAGCAGGGTAACACCTGACTGTCCAGGATGTTCTCAAGAGCCTCTAGGCTGGCCAGCAGCACCTTTAGAATTCCAGGGACTGTGATAGCAGAAGAAACCTGTCTCTGCAGCTCACAGGCTGGCTCCACCTGTGCCTGGAAATGAGACCCTGAGTGTGTCACTTCAGTTGTTGGGAAGGTTAAGGGGCTCTGTATGTAGTGCAGAAGGTGAATAGTGTGATTTGTCAAGAAATCTGTACTCACCCACTGTTCCCTTTTGTAGGGCTATGGCCCGGGCATATAGGTGAGTAAGAGAAACAGGGTCTGCAGTCTGGTGGGGGAGTTAGTAGTGGGGCAACACACTTATGTAAAAAAAAAAAAAAAAAAGATCTGGGCATGGAATTGGGGAATTCTTGCTCTGAGGCCAGCCCTGCCTCTGAGCAGAGGGATTGTGGATGCGCTAGTTCCCAGCGTTTATAAACCACATTCTTATCTATTCAAAGATGGTAGCAATACTACTATGCCTCACAGGGCCATTGCCTAGATAAAGGTTAATACAGGAAGGAGCAGGTGCTTGGTAAACTCCATGGTGGCGTGTGGAATGAGAAAGGTATTGAAATTCTATAAGGCAGGATACTGTAATAAATGCCACAGAAGGTGCATGTCATTCACCTTGGTCTAGAGGCTGAGTTACTTCTATGGAGAAACTGGCATTCTGATAGGATGCAGAAACAAGAGGGGGCACAAATTTACAAATTTCAGGAGGAGGGATTGAATGAACTGACGCACACATAAAAAATTAAAAGTCCAGGTTAAAAAAAGAGCAGTGAGCCAGTCAGTGGTGGTACACACCTTTAATCCCAGCCTGCAGGAGGCTGAGACAGACAGATCTCTGTGTGTTCAAGGCCAGCCTGGTCCAAATAGAGAGTTCCAGGAGAGCCAAAACTACATGGGGAGACAGATCCCTTCTTAAAAAAAATCATTCATTCAATCAATAAATAACCAGTGCTTTCTAGGGCAACATTTATACTAAAATTTGGATTATACAGACGGTTAGCATGACCCTTGTGCAAGGGTGATATGAATTCATGATTATTCCATGTTTTTCCCCATTAGAATGCTGTTTGCTGCAATTCTGGATATATTTTTTAAAAAGAGTTGTTGATGTTGAAAACCGTTAAATAAAAATGATTTAAAATTTAAAACCAGGCAAAAGGCATCAATAGGTCATTCCCCAAAGAGGAAACCCAAATGGCCAAGATGGCCAAAAATATAGAGATGTTCCCCTTCATCGGCCATGTAAGAGATGCAAATAAGAAGGACCGTGTCACATCATTACATGTCCCCAGTGTGGCAAAGAGTTAACATCTGTCTGTTTTAGGGAGTGGGGCCCATTAGGGTATAGTGCAGGGGCCTCTCAGGTTCTGCTGATGGAGATGTCAATTGCTAGGACTTTGGTGAGCTGATGGGGTAACATCAAGTAGGATTTAAGATGCTGGTACCTTCAGTTTAATGGCACTCAACATGTAATAGCAAACAAATAGAACTGAATCCTGAGAGAAACTTAACTAAGACAATGGACCCTAACATACATACTAGAAATAAATGAGCATGGAGGTAGCTAGGTAGCATGTGCTCAGTATAAAGATGGGCACGGGGGACTCTGAGAAGATTACAGATGTGGAGGCCTGGGGTGTAGTGCTACTTGTTAAGTGTGCAGGGTGGTTATAGTTCCTCCTATGTTTGGCATTAGTATCCTCCTCTTTAAGACTTGTCACAATGTGGTGAGTCAAGGTTGGCAGTCATCAGAGAGAGGATGGAGTGTTAGATCAGCAGAGTGATTTCTAACACACAGACCACACACACACACACACACACACACACACACACACACACACACACACACCAGGATGTGCTCCATTCCCTCACCGTGCCTCCTCCTTCCTTGGCACTGCCTCTCTTTTTAATTCAGTTAAGGAGAATGTAGAAATGTCCAAGGAAAAAAATAAAAGCCACAGTGATGGTCTCCATGTTACTCCTAAGTCACTTTTACTGGAATACAGTACACAAATCACAACTCTCTTATTCATGTGTACAGTCACTAACTTACTTTTAGAGGACTTTCTTTTGTTCAGGACCATTTGCTCAAGTCCTATAGCATCCATGATGGAAGGTGCTATATGAAGTGAACATACTTTTTCATTTAGTCTTTAGAAGTAATTATCATGCAGGTTAGATGGGTCTGTGTTCTGTGTCTAAGTTTGGGGGTCAGTTTAGAACGTTCTCATCATGGAGGTGTTTTCAAACTATGGTAGAAAACATGGCCATTAACATTATTTGAAAAGGGATGGGTCGATGGGGTCAGATTTTGACTTGTTGAAGTGCCTGTGGCCTTGGTTAGCTCCCAAGCCATAAACAATTTTTACCTGTGGCTTTTGTGGGTAAATAAAAGAAGTCAAGTTGTCTGCCCCTATGGAAAGAGAACCTTTGCCAGCTCACAGAAATGCTACTACCCCACCCCCATGTCACTGTGCAATCCAGTCTCTCCATCTCTTAAAAATGAAGTGATTGTTGGTGGTACACACCTTATCCCAGCATTTGAAAAGCAGAGACAGGTAGATCTCTATGAGTTCAAGGCCAGCCTGGTCTACAGAGTTCCAGGACAGCCAGGACTACTCAGAGGAACCCTATCTCAGAAAACCAAAACCAAACCAAATCAAAGCAAAAAGATTAAGTGGTCTTTCATATCTACTTTCAACATTCAACAGTGAGTTAGGGAGTCATGCTGTGGACACATTTTCTGCTGGGATGTTGTGTGTGCTATGATGATGAAGAAAGTCCAGCCTCAAGATGGGCCTCTGGGCCTCAAGATGTTCCTGGCTCAGAGCTGGTGTGGGGGAGAAGGCAGGACAGACACATCAGAAGGTGACCCTTAAAAGATGGGGTCAGATAAGCAGGCTGGCTCTGAGCAAATGACTTCTAGTATCCCTGCCTCCCCCCAAACCATGATTGAATCATCTGATCCTGTGACCTATAGTTGAGAATAATCTTGTCTCCTTGTTTTTATGGTGTGTTGTCCCATTTTGGTTGTGAGGAGATGAGGCTGTTGTAGAAATTTAGCAGAATCACTGTATTGGGGTACATAATAGAATGAACAAGTTTTTTGTTTTTACAAATACTTTGACCTTGAAGACTCTTTGTGGAAAACAGTAATTATTTTGCTGAAGAGGCATACCCAAGGCTCTTGTATTATTATTTCAAACTATACATAATAAAGAACTGGAGTCATGGGGGCAAGTGATGCTCTCCTTTAATAAGACATGTAAATTAGATTAGGGATCTTGGTATGAGGAAATACTTTGTGAAACAATCAATAAATACACCTTTGTACAGCTGTTGGGGTTCAGTCCACCAGAGAGGCTAAACCTGCCTGCTGCCACATAGGCCTTAAAATTTCAACTTGGAGTGTCTTTTTTAAAAAAATTTATTATTATTATTATTTTTTCTTATTTTACATATCGATCCTAGTTCCCTCTCTCTCCCATCCTCCCATGCCCCTGACCCCCCTCCCATCTCATTCCCCACTCAACTCCAGAGGGAGGGTGTGGCCTTCCAGGAGGGATCATCAAAATCTGTCAAGTCGTTTGGAGTAGGGACTAGGTCCTCCCTCCTCCTCTAAGCTAAGGGAGTATCCCTCCATGGGGAATGTGCTCCCAAAGTCCTTTTGTGCACCAGGGATACATCCTGGTTCTACTGTCAGTGGTCCTGTAGACTGCCCAGGCCTTCTAACTGAGACCCATGTTCAGGGGGTTTGGGTTGGTCCTATGCTGGTTCCCCAGCTATCAGTCTGGAGTCCATGAGCTCTCCCTTGTTCAGGTCAGATGTCTCTGTGGATTTTTGTAGTCTGGTCTTGACCCCTTTGCTCATCACTCCTCCCTCTCTGCAACTGGATTCCAGGATTTAGGCTCAGTGTTTAGCTGTGGGTGTTTGCTTTTGTTTCCAACAGCTACTAGATGAAGGTGTGGAGTGCCTTCTTTCTTCAATCGACCTGCACTACCCAGAAGCACCTTGGCAGAGAGGCAAAGCCAAGCCATCAAGCCATCGCCTGGCCCCCGGCCCTTAGCTTGTGGCCTTTTGCCTCAGTGAATGTCCATCTGCAGCTTAGGATACCTTTGATGTGTTGTCTCGTCAGCTCTCAGGCAGTCCTCTGGAGTCTTTTTAAAAAACTAGTTTTTATATGCTTTAGTTAAAATATAATTCTATCACTTTTCCCTTCCCTTTCTTCCCTTTATCCCCTCCCAACTCTCAAGCTGATCCCTCTTTTTCTCCAATCATTATCGTTACATATACGTAACATATGTGTGTGTATGCATGTGTGCTCAAATATATAAATATAATCTGCTGAGCCTGCTTTTGTTGTTTGTGTGCATATGGTTTTAAGGTTTAAGAGGCTTATCCCTGGGAGAAGCTAGCTCTTCCTCTTTCTTTCAAATTTTATTTTTAATTTTATTTGATATGTTTTGCTTGCATGTATGCCTGTGAACCATTTTTGTGCCATGGAGGCCAGAAGGCATCAGATCCTCTGAAATTGGAGTTATTTGCTGCAGTTAGAGAGCTAGGTGTTGAACCAGGACCTCTGGAAGAGTGGTCATGCTTTTAACTGCTGAGTCATCTCTCCAGTCCCATCTAGAGTCTTTCTATCACCATTATTTGTTTTTAAAATTCTGTGGTTAGAGACTAGAGAGATAACTCAGTAGTTAAGAGCACTAACTGTTCTTCCAGAGGACCAGGTTCAATTCCCAGCACCCACATGGCAGCTAACAACTGTCTGTGATTCCAAGATCTGACACAGATGTACATACAGGCAAAACCAACAATCCACATAAAATAGAGATTAAAAGAATTATGTGGTTCTATATTCTGTGACATGAAACAAATTTTGAATGGAATTCTTGCCCGAGTGGGAAGGTATGATTGTCCCTTCAGGACTCTTCCCTCTTGGAGAGTTATGGACCTGCTGTCAGGGTCCCATGGCTCTTAGAAACAAAGAGCAAACTCTGAGGCCTTGTCCCCATTTTTTGTCTGTTCTGTTCCCAATATTGCAGCATAATTTTAAGAGCTTAGCTGGGGCTTTAGCTGGCTTCTTCTAAGACATAGTTTGGGGGCCATGTCCTTCCACCTCAGAGGAGAAAGAGCCAGGCTAAGCTCTATGTGGGGAGAGGTGGCACTCAGTGTTGTGGACACTGCCTTGAGTTAGGAACCTGTTAACCTACAATGCAGGGTAAGGCATGTGAAGCTCAGGGGACAGGCCAGCAGGGAATCTAGAGGGGCTAGCCTGCACGGGAGAAATTATGAGCAGTGTAGAGTTGGGAATAGTGGGCACAGTTTGAAAGGAAAAAAAAAAGGGATGCCAAAGCAGGGAGATAAGAAACAGGAGACAGGGACCCACAGAGGGGCACGCCTCTGCAGAGACAACCTTAGTCTGTGTAGAATACAGGGAAACCAAAAGGGAGCAAGAGGGACTGAAACAACAAGTAACATGTTCACCCAGCCTTCCAGGCAAATCCAAGCATGTTTTTGTATGACTGGAATCAGCCCTAGCATTTCCTATTTCCATGATTAGTCCATTTAGCTTGCAGCCTCCTCTGTCCATCACAAGAATATGGTGTGGGCTGCCTTCTCTGTGTTGGTTATTGACAGCTTTGGTGTCAACTTGTCTAGGTGGGGAGCCCCAATATAATCAAACACCAATCTGGGTATGGTTGTGAAGGTAACCCCTAAATCTGTGCATATATATCAGTTAAGTTGCAGGAAATGTTCCTCCCTAGAATGTGAGTGGGACCCAGTCAATCAGTTGAAGGTGTTCAAAGTAAAAATAAGGCTTCTAGAGAAAACTTTTCTTTCAAGATAGCAGCATTCATATAAGGCTGCTAGTATGTCCTGCAGATTCTAATCTTGGAGGCCTGACATAGCCCTGCCATCCAATTCCACAAATCCATCCCTTATGTGTATTGCATGTGGACATGTGTCTGTCTCATATTGGCTCTGTTTCTCCCCAAACCAACTGAAACATACTTGTTTGAAGTCTGTGAGGGCAAAAAGAGGGC